CGCCGCCCTGCCGAGGACTTACGGACCTGACCAAAGCACAATTCTTGGTGTGCTTTAGATGTCCAAATAACCTCTCCATCCACAACCTCCACAGGACGGGTCAGCGGGGGCAAAGAGGGGATGATTTTCTCGCCAAGGGGGTTTTTCTCTTTCGACAATCGGTGCAGCGGACCCGTTTGATATCGTATGTCCCGCAAGACAAGGTCGAACCCAGCAACAAGCTCCACCTGCAATGCCAGGGTAACCGGACACGACCATGTCGCGGTTGGGATTCCGTAATCTTTTGCCAAGGATGGGAACGCCTGCGTCGTTTTTCTGCAATGGAATTCCAGCGCCCTTGTCGTATGATGGTAATATTCGCCCAGAAGTCCGCTCGTTAGTGGCCGCAAGCTCCGAGATGCGACGGTCACATTGGGGATGGATTGACTGATGGAGGGTCTGGAGAGGATTTGCCCCTCTCTCTCTCCTCTACCCCCCTTTGATGGCGGCACGGTGTAGACCCTGATCAAGATGGAGAACCTCATGTCCGTTTGATCCCTACCAAGACTATGCGACCTGGCAGCGTCCAACACCAACGCAGCTGCATACCATGGTAACCGGGAGAATTTGTCGGCATATGCCTCTTCTATAACGATCCAGGATTTGACGCGTGGATCCAAGGGGGTCATGTGGCTGGGAGTCCCATTGCATCCTACATCATACATGTAGACGCAGACATGAACTCGCGCACGTTCGCAGACCCTTAAAGAATCTTGTCCTGCTCTGCGGTTGTCCATGCACGAGCTTCTTGGCTATCACAGCTTCTCGCCGACGATCACCTGCCACTGCTACCCCCGGACGACACCATGCGGTCCCTAATTGTCGGTCTGCAACTCATCTCAATGGTAGCATCTGCTGCCATTAGCATCAACGCCCGTTCCGTAGCCGAGGATTTGCAAAACCTTGTCTCGACTTCCTCCGTGGCCGTCGAAGTTCGAGAACGTTGGAGTGACTTCGATGTACCTTTGCCATCAGTCATTGTCAATGCGACATCCGAGAAGGATTTGAGTGCTGTGGTAGGTTCACCGATGTTCTCGGCCAAATCGGATCACTCACTACTGTGCACATTTATGTTAATGTTTATCTACCATACAGGTCAAGTACTGTTCGTCAAATGACATCGCTTTCCTCCCCCAGAATGGCGGCAATGGTTGGGCGACCAAACAGTTCAACCTGGGCAGCAATGGCATCCTGATCAATCTCGCCGGCTTCAACCAGGTTAATATCAGTGCCGACAAGAAAACAGCTACGATTGGTGGAGGAGCGCTCATTGGCGATGTTGTTGCTGCTGCTGACGCTGCAGGTGTCTTGGTCCAAACAGGCAATTGCAATTGCGTCGGCGCTCTTGGGGCAGCCCTGGGCGGTGGATATGGCAACATCATGGGGGAACACGGCTTTGCCGTTGACAACATCTTGTCTATGCGCGTAATCACTGCCACCGGAGAGGCTCTGACAGTTTCAAGCTCATCTAACCCAGATCTTTACTGGGCTCTGAGGGGCGCAGCACCCAACTTCGGCATTGTCACTTCCGCGACAGTAAATGCGTGGGCGACAGCAAGTCGTACATCTTGGATCATGTCTCTGACCTTTGACTCCTCAAAGATCGCCGATGTGGCTCAGACTATCCAAGATCTTCCGTTGCTTCCGGAACAAGTCGTCTACCTGGTGCTGACAAATTCCGGCGACTCTTCGAATTCGCCAATGGTTCTTGTCACTGGCTTCCTACGCCAGGGAACCGAAGAAGCTGGCCGCACCGCCTTTGCGCCTCTGTACAACCTCGGACCCCTGACCAACTCCAGCGTGGTTACTCCTTACCAACAATGGAACGCGGCCAACGACAACTTCTGCGCCCGCGGAGGACGCAAACCGGCATACAGCACGACCATCAACAACATGAAGTCAACAACATGGCCTGAGATCTGGACTCTATACACCGACTTCCAAAAACAGACAGGCGCACAGAATTCAGCTGTGTTGATCGAGAGATACAACCTGACCACGGCAAAGTCAGTTCCTTCTGGGTCCGCAGCTATGCAAGATGAGCTCCGCCAAGAAGCGTTCGCACAGGCGATTGTCATCCCGTGGTATGAGGACGCTAGCCTCGATACACAAGCTCTGGAATTTGGGGCCAAAGTCCGAGATATCTGGAGCTTCTCTTCGAGTGCCACCGTGAACCCGACGTAGGTTAAATATTCAATGAGTATTTCTCTATTGTCGTTGCGGTTAACTAATAACGAATATTTCAGATACATTAACTTTGCTCACGGGGATGAGGAGCTGCAAGCTATCTACGGCTCAAGCTTAGATAGACTCAAGACCTTGAAGAAGAAGTTTGATCCTTCAGGGGCGTTTGGTCAGTGGTTCAAGATTGCGTAAGCATTACTCGGTGACTGTATTTTGAAGCATTGGAACATGCAGAGAAGTACTGGATCTACTCTATGGTGCACACTGGATGATTCGTAAGAGATTCAGAGAAGGTACGGCAGGTATGGTCCCAGCCGTCTACGCGATTCTGCATTTTGACTATTGTCGTTCCGTACCGCGTAAGACAGATGTACCGATTAAATATCACAGAGTAAAAGTGCCTTCATCATCTCCAACTACCTTTCATCTTATCGTTTACTCTCTTCTGATGATGCAGAGGTACCTGACATGACCAAAATCGATCATTCATCTCGAAAGAGCTTCAAGTGTCATCTGAAAAGTGATTCATCTTAGGAAGAGTGTGTGTCTGAATTCTATTGATGTATGCGCTCTCATGCCATCATTAATATATTGCAAGAAACTCTTCGAGGATGCCACGGGCTTAGTTTAATCCTCGATTTATCAAAGTCCGTACCCATGCAACCATGCTAATGTGTCGTTTCAAAGTCATTCCAAAAAGGCCGTTTTTCATTGGACACCAATCCATATTAGGCGGAGCAGGCAAATGAGTACGAAACACCACTGAAGTGATCGCTGCAACCTCCGTATGTAGACTGGCCATTCAGCGAGACGGGAACGCAAGTCTCCACCGTCTTGTTTGTCTTCGTGTCGACGACGGCGGTGACCTCGGGGTTGGCGTACAAGGGAATGTTGTCGTCCACACATGCCAGCTCCAGATTGTAGTATGTGGTGTTTGTTACAGCGTCAGTGACGTTGAAAGGGTTGCGGCAGATGGGCTTGAAGACGTATGTGTTATAAGCGCGGATCGTGGTCCAGGTCGCGGTGCCCTTTACGGCGCCGCGGGTGTCGCAGACCTCAGTGACCTCTTGGGTCGTTGTGGGAGTGAAGGGGGACCACGCGACGAAGAGATTCCCGTGGGGGTAGCTGAGGTAACCCAAGTTGATGGGAGGGAGGGCAGCTGAAGCCGTGGCGACGAAAGAGGCGCCGAGAATGGTAGAGAGCTGCATTTTCAGAGATTTTGGTGGGAAGAATTAGGTATTACTAGTCGGATCAAACAGTTCAAATTCGATGGTAGCTGATTCTGGCAAAAACGAGAGTGGCCTGGCTCATCGGATTCCGGGACGATCGGTCTATTGCACTGCTGTTAAATACTCAGGATAAGAGCCGTGGCAGCCCCTAGTAGCTGCAGGTCTAGAATCTCGTTCCTTGCAGTTTAGTGGTTCGTTTAGTTCGGCCCTCACTTACCGCCCGTGCCGTCATAGTTTCCGTGGACCTTTGGTCGGTATAGACAAGGGCGCTGCAGGAAACATTTCAGCCGTTGCGCGATCATACCTTGTCCTAGGCCCGTTGAAAGACCCGCGCTAGAACCAAAGTCCCAACCCATCAGGTTTCTAGGGCAGTCAGCTAGGGATAAAATTTCTTTCGCTAAACTTCTGCCTGGTAAAACATCGAGAACTTTCTTTCCCGTGCGGCTTGAATCTTTGGTGAGAACTGTCAGTATTCAAACAGAATCAGAACGCAAAACCTGTATTTGAAAATCATAAAGAAGACATAGCCAATGACAGATACATCGTGACATCATTGCTGTTCATTTGAACCCTTAGATCGCACTAGAGTGCGGCACAGAGGCGGCAATTGTCAGGCGGAACAGGGCTGCAGATTCAGCGGTCAAATACGAGTTGTTTTGTTGCCTAGACACGGAAGCTGACGGCACTTAGTGGGGACATCATGCAATCCTCCTCGTGTTGTCGCCCCGATGGTTCCACAGAACGCATCGAGGTAACTATTGTAAGAAAGCGGTAAGGGCAATTTATCTTTGTTGATAACACACTCGTGTTTTTTATATCGGGATTACTGTCGATGGAGTTGAGCGCGTCCTTGGGCCACATTGCGCGTACCGTACAGTCACCAAGTATAACTTATTGTGTGATATCCCTTATTAAAAGCTTGATCCCGCTAAGATCGATCTTTCGCGCCTATAGAGCAGGGGAAAAAACTACCATATAGCCACAAATCCTGACCGGCAATTGATCTCTTCGTATAACTACTGCATGTAAGTAGGTACTAGAAGGATAGGCTCGAGCTCATAGGTTTTTAGCCTACTCTAGCTCCCAATCATCGCTGAGAATGGAGGTTGGCTGAGGGAACTAAAACTATCAACTTGTTAAAGTCTTGGGCAGAGACCTGGGTATTTAACATAGTGATGTTCATCGAAGTCTGCGGTCTCTGATTGTGTGATCCGATTATCTTAGGAAGTGATTGCTTAGAATACCCGAAAGAAGCATAACAAAAAGAAAACCAACATATCTGATTTTGCAGACTTTGAGAAATAAGATAAACTAAAATGAGGCCCATGATAATTACGAGATTACTTCTGTCCAAAATTGTCACGTAACAGGGATAGTAACCGCGCTTCACGAAGTGCCCGTCACGTACTGTATCACGTGTATATCTCATACCTTACATCGTGTATATAGACCTTTTCCTTTTGTCTATTTCCACTTTGATAGGTTAAGCCACTTTACCACACTCCGTATGCCCATTGCTGCGTGTCATAACTCGTGACAAAAATCTAGTCAGGCTACAGCTGCAGCTGGTGCAGTCGATGTTTGCTCATCGGACTCTTCTGGCTTACGTCCGTAGACAACGTGCCTGGTAAGCGTTGTTAGTTATGACCTTTAGCTAGTGGTAGGTACGATAGCTTTGAGCGTAGGCAATTTACTCACAATGTAAAGTACGTCTGAAGTTTGAGGTCCCTCAGGGCCTTGCGCATCTCGCTCATGAAAACAAGAATCTCTACATCCTCCCATCCCATCATTTGTCTCAAAAGGAAAGTTCCAAATCCTTCCAAAGACTGGTCGATGTACTGCAGGTTGACAGCCCCGACTTCTTTCAGCTTGGGATCCGAAGCCCATCCTCCGATAGGAATCGGCCAGCTTTTCTCCACGATATCCACGAATCCAGCATTTCTCATGCCGTTCGCAATGCCATGATCCCGAGTCTGTTTCCCAGTTTTGCCGAGCCTGTCCATTGACTCGAACATGATTTTCGCCCACCTTCTGTAAACATGATCCCGGGGCAAATTGTCGCCGAGTGCTTGAGAGTAGTCTTCAAGATCTAGTTCGTTCACCTCAATATAACCGCCAGGTATGAGGTGCTCGAATGCCTGAGAATAGAGCTTCGGCCAATCAGAGACACATCCTTCCAGATGTCGGATGTGAACGTAATCGAAGAACTCAGTAGGCCACGTCCAGTCCGCCTCAATGTCGTCGATTTGAAATTTGCAGTTGGGTGGAACCCAACTCGGTTGAATGGGTGAAATGTCAACACCGATAACTTCTGCCGATGGGAATTCGTCGGCAAAATCACTGACAAGAACATGTGAGACCGTTGTCTAAGTATTATCTTGACTCGATAGTAAATGCGATACGGGAAACTGAAGAGAAATCAACTCACATAGCCCAGATACCCGTTCCGGTACCAATGTCGAGAACTTTCTGCTTATCATTTCAGCGGCTTGTGAACACCAGGAACTTGCGTGTTAACTGACATGGGGGCTGTCTCCTATAGGCGCCAAGAACAGCTTATCGTCAAAGAAGACGCATTCCCAATAATGGCTTGATGTAAATGTCAGTAGTGTGTTCGATTTTGGAACAAACCGAGTCGCTATTGTGAAGAGGAAAGTATGTGGACTGGTACAGACGATGTTTACGTACGCAAGATCGAGTCCTTCATTCTGCTTCTCGTCATTTGGCCCCCAGTAGTCAACCTTTTGCGTGTAGGTGCGCCCAAGGATGCGTCGATACTCCGTGATGCTTTCGGTCAGCGAAGCCGTTGAGGACGTGTGAATGCTATTGCACTAATCAGCTTACACCCCAAATCCACTTACGCGCATTCTGTCAGTACTCACCTCTCTGTCTCGGCTTCAGTCAAATCCTCATGCTCGAAAGCCGGGTCCTATTGAGAGAAGGGTCAGCTGTCTGATGTTTTGAGGTTCACCTGAGCTACGTATGTATGCAGGTATCAAGAGGTCGGCGATTCGACTCACAACGACGATTGGGCCTGCCTCGGTCTCATTTGCGTTGCCAGCAGGTGAGCCTGCTGCCGCTGGTGGCGATGAACTTTTCGCGGACGGACTCTTTGCAGCCAGCATTGACGCGGAGACTTGTGGCTCCGAGCCCTCAGTTGATGCCATGTTGTAATTCGTAGAATTCCCCTGCCAGATGATGAGATCTGTCTGTCGGCAAGATGTCGCAATGAATAGCAATGATCTGGAGTTTGCGAGGTTCGAGACACGAATATGGGCTCAACCCCTCTTTTCAACGGATTTCTTATCCTTCTGTTGGTTCTGCGACATGGATGCTCTTCTTGCAGCCGAACACGCGTTCGGTTGGTCTGTTGGTGGCTGCAAACCGGGGCTGGAGCCGCCAAGTATTCTAGCGAAAGCCCGCCTCCCCGGACGAATAGAATGATTATTTTCCCAATATCCGATGCGTATTCACGGCATTCTAGGCTATGCCCAGAAGGTATGGAAGGTGCCGGGTAGCTTTCCGACACGGACATAGCATGCAACCATAATCCATTGTTCAATATCAAGCAGACAGGCAAAGTCCGAGGGGTCCAATTCATTGCCAGATCCGCTCAAATGCAATGACAATTCCTCGCTCATACAAACTTGAGTCAATCCTCCAGGGCTGGTGTTGCGATCCGCACACATTTGGTTAGTCTTATTCCTATTGGATTTCTCGAGTCTCGCACTAGATGATGGTGACATGTGATCCGCTCGAATTCCAGCCAAAGGCTGTTGTATTTTTGTATTACATGATGAATAAAGACATCAGATGTCTCTCGAATACTGTATTTTGCTAGAACATTCTATCTCACATTGGAGTGGGGTTAGCTTTTTTGGCACAGGTTCTCAATGTACCGGTCAAGTCGCTCGTAGAGACCTGCTATTCTGCTTTAATGGCACAATCAATATTCCATGGCATGATTAGTCGAACATACACGTGCTATTTGGACTTGGAATGGCCTTTGAACCCGGCTTTATGTTGCTTATTACTGATTCCATGTTGCCTGCGAAATTCTCATCCAGCCTTTTACCCCTCCTGCCTGGTTGAGAGATTCTTTCTATCGTCGTCGAATGTTCCATCAACAGTGAAGTGCCTCGATTTTGGTGTTCAAACCTTTATCTCCAGTGAAATTTGGACTACCTTGACTCTGGAGCGGTTCTCATCAATTCTTGAGCTCAATTATACAGTTCATTACTACATCACCTAGTTCAATATTCATACTTAAGTAAGTATAGCACGTAGGAATCAAAGCTAAAATAGAGAACTAGGATCACGAGGGCAATAGCAAGATCTCGGAGAGGATTTGTATGTGTGTATTCGAGGGCAATGACTATGATTCTCCCAGCTGTTATGCCAAACACTTGCCCCCCCCACACAGCCTGAACGGCGAAAGCTAATTAGTCGTCTTCTATGGCTTTCTCGCATAGACAACATGCCTAGAAGGTGATACATTCAGTCAGGCTGACAGAGTCTTATTGTGTCTTCAATAATCGAGTGGAAATGGCAACGAAACTTACAGCTTGATGTAAGGTTGAAGCTTTAGGTCTCTAACGGACTTCTGCATCTCACTCATAAACACCACGATCTCGGCATACCCCCAGCCCATTACCTCTTAAAGCAGAAAGGTACCAAAGCCTTCAAGCGATTGATCGAGGTACTGTAGGCGGCAGGCATCCACTCCCTTGAGAGTCGACTCCTTTGGCCAGGCACCGATAGGCGCAGCCCACTGCTGCTCAACAATGCCAACAAAGCCTGCAGCTTCTAGACCTTTGGCGATACCGTGATTGCGGCTTTGAGTTCCCGTCTTTCCCAATAGATCCATAGCCTTCAGCATCACTTTGCCCCATCTTTTGTCCATGTGGTCTTCGTTCAGCTCAGGAAGAACTTGGGAACACAGTTCCACGTCTATCTCCTTGACCTCGACAAACCCGCCCGACTTGATGTGGGCAAACGCCTGGGCGTATAGCGCGGGCCAGTCTGCCACGCTACCTTCGAGGTGACTTATGTGCACATAGTCAAAGTGGCTGATGGGCCAGGTCCACGGCTGTTCGATATCATCGATCTGGAACTTGCAATTTGGTGGGACCCAATCTGGCTGAATCGGCGAGATGTCAACTCCTATCACTTCGGTGGAGGGGTACATATCCGCAAAGTCTCTGGCACATCTCGTCAACCATGTGCTCAATCAACGCATACATACTGCGCAGACTCATTTTAAAAGCACTGAGTAACACTCACATAGCCCAGATACCAGTTCCAGTGCCAACGTCGAGGACGTTCTATGGCAATTTTAGGATATCTCTTCGAAGTTGATATTTGGTTATTTGAAAACCTACGTACCTGGAGGGAATCACCTATAGGGGCAAGAAATAACTTAACATCTAGGAGGAGTGTCTCCCAGTAATGGCTATGGGAGCACACCATGTAAATTACATGTGAGCCCGAAGCAAATGAGTTTTACTCGGTGACTATAACGTACGCAATATCAAGTCCCTCATTCTGTCTTTCGTCGTTTGGTCCCCAACAATCGGTTTTCTGAGTGAAAGTACGCCCGTGAATACGGCAATACTCGGTAATACTTTCACTCAAAGAAGCGGTGGAAGAGGTGTAGATACTTCACGGTGCCGACAGCACGTGGTCTCTACCAGCAGCCATCCTCAGTTGTTGTCTCAGCTCTCAATTTCGGCATCAGTTGTTTGCTCATTTTCAAGAATGGGGTCCTGGAAAAAAGTCAGATCAAGGCTGTATGTAGCAGGCGACAGCTTTCATGAGAGTAGACTCTCTAGACCCTCAACATACTACAGCAATAGCGCTTGTTGCAGGCTCAGGACTGCTCATAATGAGAGGGCTCGCGGCTGTCATGTCGTCTGGAGACACAGCCATGGTGTTGTCTCCGCTTTCTGTGTTTTGCTAAAGCGATAGGGAGACTATTAAGCAAAGGTGAAGTAACTAGACTTGCAAATGACTGTGAAACTCTGTGCAAACGAGCGGTCACACGAGTTTTGTGGCAGAAAGTCCAATATAGCCACGACCCCTCACTTGATTATGTTGGTTTTTCTTCTCATTCCGGCCTGCATGTTGTTCTGTAGGCTGTGTTGGAGCAGCCCAGTTCACTCGAAGACTCCTGTTGTCACCCACCCAGACGAATGAAACCAGCCAGGTTCCTCAACTGTCATTGTGGACTTTAGGCCCGTTCCGGAAGGTCCAAGAAACATGCATAGCGACAACAGACGCCCCCATAGGGAAACAAAGAACGAAGCGGTTGTACCTTGCCCAACCAGCCCGGAAGAAATGCATCACATCGGGTGCTAGTAAAAAACAGGCAAAGAATGGAGGGGAACGTTGACCCGTCTGCGGATCGCGCCGAAGACCCTTTCAGAACGAAGGGAGGGCTGGCCAATGAGAAGCTTTCGAATGCTACGGCTTCTGCACTCCGCATTTCGGAATACGGTCTGAAAATGCCCGACCATGAGAGGCGCCCAGAATATCATCGGTCTTGAACCACATTGACTGCAAAGTGGGCTTCGATCTTGGCGTTGGAAGGTTGATGACAGACGCAAAGACGCACGAACATGTTGGCACCATTGAACCCCATATTTTCTATTGAAACAAGCCGTTTTGTGCAACCTCTGCCATCTCGTAAAGTTGCCGTTCTGGCCAAGATAGGACGGATGTTTTCAACACAGGCCGATGCTCGGAACGTGATCAGGCACTCCATCCAGACGCCTATCTTTCCTCAAAAGCTAAGAACAGTTGTTTATCTACTGTAGATCTACACGTGGAGATGTCTCCAACTCTCCGCAGAATATGACGTTCTGAGGTCATCACAGCTGCTCAAGAGTCGATTTGAGTCATGAAGATCCTTATTCACCCAGTGACCTGATTCTGTCAGGAGTAATTTTCTAGAGTCTATTCTCGAGAGACCAGACCATCAAACAAATAAGACAACGCGAAACAAACAATGAAGCTTGGCCGGATGATCCCCCACCAGCCGTTGAATCGCGGTCTCGGTCTCTTTCCCGCTGAGAAACGCAGTGGTGCCGGACGGACGATTTGGAACGAACTCTTTTTTAGGCCCCACTGCCTACCACTAATGACGACAATGCAAAACCCTGACTCGCATGTAGCACCGAAACTTCTGCACCCTCGTGCTGATCTCGATTGGAGTGACGCACGTTCCTGCGGACTAAAAGTCTATTTTGTGTGGGTGAGTGAGGGGTTCCATTACCTGAAAAGAGTTGAATCCAAATGTCTGTGTTTTCGGGCCGGTCATGTTAGAGGTGAGAAGGAAGAGCACAGAACGGAAGCACACCGCTCCCAAGGCTTAGGCGAAGCTATGATTGGAATCACTCGCGGCTACGGTATATGCCGCTACTAGTTGCATACTAGTAGCCGCGGCTGCGTAGGAATCGAGGACTAGCTTGAGGCCGGTCGCCCCGGCTTCTAGTCCGATCATCGCACCGTCAGACAGTCCACGGCCTTTGCCTCCGCGCCATTACCAATTTAAAGACCGTGCCTTGTTCTCTATGGCAGTCTCCATGTGTGGCCCAGGGGCCCCTGGTGTAACTGCCCGGAGATCATCGCTATCACCCTCGAACTCGCGACGGCGTGGCAAACCCCCAGAGTGGGAGCCGGCAACCGGCTGCCCGGCCAGAGGGAGCATCTCTGCTGCAGTGAGCTTTCAAATGCCGACCCCCTGCGCAAACAGGCGACTCTACGACGAACTCTGGTCTGGCAAACCGGGTCCAACGGATGGAGAAGTAAAGGGTCGGACAAGTTGACGCCTGCAGGGTCCAAAGGTCAAGAATTTTGGCCCCAGCGTCTGACGTTCCCGAGTCGGGGTTAGGACATGTTGGCTATCCCAAGCACTTGTGTTGCGCTGCCCTCCACCCAACCTTCAAAACAATCCTTCCCCCGTGCTGCCACTCACCGTTGCATGCATTAGCTTCCTACTTGCCCGCCATCGCGACTAGTGCGGTTGGTGAAGTTCCGACGAGAGCAGCGGTCAATGGGTCACTTTCCTCATATTGGCTGCCCTGCCCCAACATTTTGCCAAAAAGCTTGTCAATTTTCTCCTCCACCTCTCGATCACACCCCTACCGCCGGGGATGAAGGTGGAACAGCAACACCAGAGAATCCACCGTGACCGTCGACGTCCGATGAAAAACGACACATAGCATTACGATGGCGGGAACACTTATACCCCCGTGGTATGTCGGCTCGACACCAACAAACGATGAACAGAACATAGCGAGCATGTTTTGGGGGTTCACGCTTGGAGTCGGCCTATGGAGCGGAGTCAAGGGTTATCGACAAAGTAGAGCCAGTTGGAACAGGACACACAGGGTCAACATCTACATATGGTTGATCTGGGCGGAATGGATCGCCAGTATAGTCATCGGCATCATATCCTGGTGCTATCTGACATCCATCATTGATCCAAGGTAGGCTTCTCTCCCTCTTCTGAGTAATCCCAGTATCTAATTTCGAGTAGCTTTGAATACTTCTTTTTCCTACGTAAGTATCGTAGGGCTTCAATTCGCATACTTTTTAAAACACTAACGCCAATCGGTTGAAGTCGTATTGTGGACGATCCAGGTAAATTTCCAGCAGGTTTTTTTTCATGATTTATATTGGACATTAGCTGATCAGTGCTTCATCAGGTACAATGTCTCATGCAAATCATCGTCAACCGAATCGCAATTTTGATGCCGATACCTGCACAAGCCACACGATTGAAGTGGGGAGTCTTTGGCATCCTCTTGGCGGTCAACATCAGCGTCTTCTGTATCTGGATTCCAGCTCGTCTTCAGATCAACGAGACTTACATTCACATCAACGAGATCTGGGACAGGATAGAAAAGGGCATCTTTCTTCTTGTGGATGCTGGACTGAACCTTACCTTCATCTATCTGGTCAAGTCGCGGCTAATTGCTAGCGGCTTGACTAAGTACACGGCGCTATTCCGATTCAACCTGGCCATGATTGCAGTCTCAATGTCACTTGATGTAGGTTCGATCGCTTTCCGTCTGCACTTGACCTGGTGGCTTACCATTCACACTCTAGGTCATCCTCATTGGACTTATGTCCCTGCCGAATACTTTGATGTATGTGATGCTGACTCTTGTGGGCTCGTGACATCGCTAACTGTCACAGCTATGCCCAGTTCCACCCGCTAGCCTATTTACTCAAACTACATATCGAAATGGGCATGGCAGATCTGATAGCAAAGGTCGTCAAGGCCTCAAACCCCATGCGCCCACACGCCGAAACAAGGAGAGACAGCAACGAAGGAGCGCCAGATGCGAACAAGAACTCATTATCGAAGTCGAGGTCCAGAAGATTCTCGATGCCCTACGTAGCTGGGAGGTGGATGTTGAGCTCGGAGAATGTACAACCCAAAAGAAACACCGTAGGGCCAGAACTCGAGCTCGGTATGCCGGCCAACACATTCTCAGGGAGGGCGGCAGAGCCAGAGACTACGCCGCACCCTCGTTCGCTCTCTCGTCACATAACTGAACCGAATGGGATACCTGGGCTGGGTATGACGCCACAGTCAAGGACTAGTCGCCAGGATTCTAGTAGTACTGTGAGGGAGCAAGACCAGGATGTTGCGTGGTATGTTTAATTGAAGAGACCGGAATAATATGATACCCAGGGAGTCCAAGGAATCGAAAAGGCGGCAGTCACGCGGATAAAAGCATTAAGCGGAGTAGGAGTATTGTCACACAACTGTGAAAGCGATTTATCGTCATGAACAAAATTAATTTATGTAGAAAACTCAAGGCTTCTTAACGAGTACTCTTCACAAATTGGTACGTGGAATGTTTATGTATACTTCGTTTTTCGTTCATGACCGCTCAAATGACTGGGACTTCTCCATCGCTGGCCCCCTAAACAGAAATCCAGAAGACGTGTGCCCCCCTTGCTCCTAGCAGGAACCTCCATCATCTACATCATCTGGCTTTCTTTTACATACGCGAAAACTTACTTCAGTTGGTAGATAAAAAGTCGAATTATAGGAGACGCTGGAAATACGTTTCGCGCTGGTGAAAATTCTCCTCACATCATTGCGAGTCGCGATGGGCACCCTGCAAGGCTTTCACTGCCAAAGCAGTAATGGCCCCTTCGCTTCCAATTAGGATCCCAGAGAACCCATACCGGTATAAGTATCCCATCCAGCTGCCATCACTTCTCTGCAAGTCCAGTAGGACCCTTCTATCCGTTGTGTTAATCAGGCGCATGTTGTTCGATGCAAGCAGACGAAGCCCGACACTTGACGCATCGTTTGTAGATCCCATGCGTTCTTTCAACCGCTGACAGAGTAGATCGCGCAAACTGTCAAGCTCACTGGCATCAGGATTCTTGGAACATAGTTCACTGAGATAGTAGAGTAGGAAGTCCGGCAGGTGGTAGTAGCGAGTTCCATGCTCGAAAGCGCCTGTGCGGAGCATATCCTCCATGAAGTGTAGCGCGGGCTGGAGTTGATTGCCTCGTCCACTTGCGTAGAAAACTCGCAGTACGTTGGCTGAGATAAAAGGATCAAGCCTCGGCCGGCCTGGGTCGAAGTAACACTGCACAGAATCAACTGTTAGTTGGTTTCAAAAGTACAGCCAAGGGGAGCAACCTACATATGCTAATCCATCTGGATTCAAAAATTGGAGAATATTATCCATGGCCTTCTGCTTGACATCGAAATCAACATCAAGCGTGAGAAGAGCGATAGAGGTAGTGTCGAGGTCCTCGGGAAAGACTTCCGTTGTCAGCACTGGAGGCCCGTAAGAAAAGCAGTTCCATTGGCCTGAAGGAGGATTGTGTTGGGCGATATCGACAAGTCCCCTAAGAAACGTAAAGTAGTTAGTATTTCAGGCGAACTTATTGTCCGGGGTGACTCCGTACCAGTCGTTCGTCCAATGCAATAAAAGAAGCTGCTGGAACTGCTCCCGAATCTCAATGCCAGTGTTGGATATACACCACATGTCCTTTGCGTGAGCTCGAAGCCAAGATTTGCCACGCTCAATGGGATCACCAAAAAGGCTGTTCAGCTTCTGGATCACTCTGTCCGTATTGTCAAATAAGACTCCTTGCATCCCGCGACATTGGGCGCAGATGACATTCTCCGGTCGGTCGTCAACAAACACAGTTGATTTCGCATTCAAGCCTGCATCTTTGAGAGCTCGATCAAAGAAACCTTGCTCCGGCTTTCGTACACCCAGGCTGGCTGACGTGTAGACATCATCAAAGATGTCCCAGCCTCCAATCTTGGAGTGAACTATGTTATAGCTTTCGGTAGACATATTGGTTGCAGCAATCACGCGAAGTTGGCCGTCGGAGTTCTCTTTGAGATTTCTGACGGCTGCAACAAAGTCTTCGTTGAGTGTCAAGGTTGACGATGCCAGCTGGATGGTTTGTTGTAAGGCACCCTCCGCAAGGGCGAACCTCTTCGTCAAGGCCCCGAACACCTCTGATTGTGTCGCCTTACCTGCCTCCAAGCTGTGCCATTCGGATGATTCAAGGACGCGCTTGAACACCTTTCCTGGAACTGGAGCGTCTGGGACGGCGGAGAAGTTGCAGAAAACTCCGCCAATGTCCAGTATCAACGCGGTAGGTCTTCCATTCACACTACCCTGCCGGCAAAATGAATACGAATTTAGCGCGCTGCTCTTAAGATATCCCGCCATGTTTCGCATTTTCTTCATACCTCGGGTGCGCCGTGATGGCTCTGGAAAATTGGGGTGGGCGATGAGTGATGCAACTTAGCCATGGTAAGAAGTATCACGAGAAGAGGAAGCGCTTGGTAAAGGAAATTCGGTGTTCTCGAGAAAGACGAGAGGGTTCAACAAAAAGCAGACCTACGTAGGCAGCAGGATCATTGAAGTATATGTATTCTTTGCCGCAAATTGCCCACTGTAAAGATCAAACATTGCGACTTCGGACGAGGCAATTTTCGACCTTCCGCATCGTGTCGGGATCAGACAATTGATTGAGATGATCCAGGTTACTTCGAACATTTGGAGGATCTTGGCAAAAGGTCCTGCATAGCTTCCTTCAATGAACCCCTGTCAAAGGCTCGTCTTTAAGCTGACGAGACACAACAAGCGATCTTCGCTCAACCGCTGCGCCAAGTCGAAGATCTAACGTAAGCGTAGGTTGAATCCTACGTGAACTCTGACATGATGTGGGTACAAAACACAACGGTCTGTCTTCCCTCATTTCATTAGTTGAAGATACGAGGAATACGGAACTATTTCAGACAGCCATGCTGCACCTATTACAAGGGTCCAATGGATAATGCCATTTTGAGTGATTAAGAATATGATACACAGATTTTCATCACACAGCTTACCTGTTTATAGACAAGATTGACTCTCAGGATGTATCGGAGAGGCTAGCAGTTGGCCAGGTGGAGTTCATAAAGCAGACCATTGCTTACTCGATATCGGACGATCGTGCGTTGCGCGCTCTCTTCCAGCTGGAACATCTCAGAAAACAACCTGTTAGATTTCCAGGTAAAATGGACGAAGCAAATGGTTTAGTCAATGACAAAAGAAAGTTCACCTCAGTTCACACAAGAATCCATGCCGTACATCTGTTTGATTGGTAAGTATAAAGCAAGTAAATACATCGAAACATTAAATTACAATCGGCCTTATATAATCTCTCCTTATCTAGACCTCGGAACAGGAAATATTTCGAGTAGGGGTGGCTTAGCAGAAGCGCAGCGTCAGATTCTCTGCTAAAACTGAGATTCTTGTAACAAGAGCTTCGGGGGAAAAGGGGAGGGGCAGCTAATTCTCCATGGCCAAGGAAAAGAATATAGTGTCTCCAGGTTCTTACTGTCTCACGGCTAACATGATGGCTTTATCTTCGTAGCAGACATAGTACTTCAGTGACGTAGTCACTTGGTCAGGTTTCAAACTGAATTCGTCATTTGAGATACCGAGGACATAGGCTGAATTAGGAGCAGCGGCCTTCCCCGTTTGTCCAAAGTGCATGTAGGTTGCACCTAGGTGTGTTGTGTGCATGCCCATTTAACTCGTAAATTCTCTCTTAGGAAGCAATCAAAGTAAAATAATGTAGCAAGACTTTACCCCTATGGTCTCTCAGCTTGTAAGAAGTCGGTCACATCGGCTAATAGTTCCCAACTCTGGTCATCAAACTCTGCAATGCTCTCTTCCCTCGTCGACCAGCTGCGCGACATGCTGAATTGTGACCCCTCGAGGAAGGATTGAGTGTCATGGCCTGCTAATGGCCCAACCATCTCAAGGCCAGTGAGAAAGTTGTTTTCATCAACAGACTCTTGTGCCACAGGCATTCCATATGCCAAGGCACTTTCGCCTACATGGGCAAGATCGGCTGTTTGTTGATCCTGCTCACTCGTGTCATAGCTTTGAGTTTTGGCACCTGATTCTGAAGTTGGGGTTCTCTCTGGAGCTGATGACGCCTCGTAACGATCACGGTTCGACCGAGATAGACTCGCCGCGATCTGCACCCGGCAAGACGCCAGCAGCTCTTCCACAACAGATTCCAATGTCTCGGCCAGGAAGCTCTCAAGCTCCCCTTCATCGTCTGAAACGTTTGGCTCTGGTATGAGCCCTCGCTCCCACAGAGCATCGGAGACCAGAGCCTTTCCGTTCGCATCCCAGAAGTCGTGGATCATGACCATAGACTCCTCGATCTGGTTTCCCAAGTATGCTGACTCTGGACGTGGAACATCAGGGAACACAATATCCCACACACTGAACCATTGCTGTTCCTCAGATAATCGTCTGTCTACCTTCCGAGTGAGCTGTCGACTTTGATCTTCAGATATCCCCTCATAGTTGACCTGATCTTGTAGAAAGCAACCGCGTTGTGAAATGTGGATGTCTCGGTCCGTTGGCTTGTCGAAGGTTATCCAGCATGTTGGACAGTAATACGACGGTTGGCGATGTTTTCGATTGAGGTGCTGTTTGACGTCTTTGATCCTTTTGAGTTCGATTCTGAGGCACTGAAGATGCTTCAAAGGATCCTCCTTGTAGAAGGGGCAAGCAAGAATGATGCTTCTGCTCTTGTTGGACGGATTCATTGTCGAGCCGCTCACAATATTTGCGTTAGAATCTTCACCCGCCTCATTTCCTCCATTACCCTCATTATCGTTCTCGTCGTTCGACTTCTCGTATTTCCTAGATCTCTTGCTTGACTGCTGAGTTTGGGTTGCCGGAGGGTTTGCTGCTCGCTTGTTCGATTTCTGGGGACAGGTTTTCCATTCGAAGAAGCTGCTAAGACAGTCTTCTACTACCAGCTTTTCGATCGACCGAAACCGATGGTCTGACGGCAAAGCATAGATAGGCGTTACTTCTGAGGTTTCAGAAGGCGATGAGCTCTTGTCTTCACTTTCATCGGCGATCGGTGAAAAGGAAAGCTCCTGATCGGCATGTCGCAGTAAGGGGATGTTGCAAGATTTGGGTGTTTCGGAAGGAGATGGGTACATGTATGCTACGTCTGAGAATAGACTAAAGCGTGACAAGAACTCGTTCTCATACTTGCTGGATGAAGGTGTCTCTGCCGGAGTAGGTCGTCCCTCATCACATGCTCTCCTTTCCAGATCCTCAAGCCTTCTCTTCAGCTTCTTTCCTAAATGTTTGTCAATGCATGGCTTCTTCTTCCAGAGACCAATCAATTCCTCTTATCTACTTACTGTAGTTCCTTTGAGCTATTCGGTTTTGTATTCTTTGGCGCTCTGCCAGATCTGAAGTCTTTGTCCAATCTTCTTCGCTCTTCATGAGACTGCTCGATTTGTCCAACTCCTCTTTATCGGTCTCTCCTAAAGTATTCCGCGGACGAAGCGGGAGCGCTGAGCTCTGCGCCTGGAAGCTGCCCTGGTGAGAGGCACTAGCCCGATCGTCACAGAGCGCAGCTGACATGTCGACCTTGTTGTTATATTCTTAGACTCTAGGCCCTTCGTATGGCATTCGTGTCTACGGCGTAGCATATAAGTCGATCTATAGTCCAACGATGAGCGATTACGAGTCTTCATATATTAAAGAAACTGCAGCCTGATTTCTCGATGAAAGGCACCAATGTGCCCTTGGGTCTTGTTGGTGGCTGCCGCACAGCCACAAATGCGCAGCAACGTGGCAGATCTGCTCCAATCGCTGGGTGGTAGGTAATTGTCGATAGCCAATAAACGGCAGTAAAGATGAGCCTGCCTGTAGAAACGTCTGCATGTAGCGTACGGTAGAGTGCGTGATTCATGAGAGCTTTCACCCCATTACATGCTCTCCGAAGACAGGTCTGTGCCAACAGAACAAATATTCAGTCTCTAAGTAGTACGCTCAGTATTTCCAGATGCGTGAGCCGTATGGTATGGTAACTTATGTATATTATTCTAAATGTCTTTCTCTTGCATTTATTTATTCAGGCGGGGAGCTCTCTCGGGGTCTCTCCAGTAAAGACACGCCTCCCTGCGAATATCATCCTTCTCAACCTTAGTTCCATTATTAGGCTGGACGATAAGCTGCAACGCAGGCTCCGATTCAAGTCCATAACCAGTTGGCTTATACTGAGGCCACTCGGGGCTGCCAGGGTACCTAAAAGTGTTGGGGTCGCCGGACAGAACGAAGCTGGACAGATATCCGTGGTAAATGTGGCTGACCTCGGGGTACTGTACCACCGGCTCGTCCCAAGTGTACTTGGTGTCGGCGGTATGCGGGATACCCCTCCACGCAGGCCACGAGTTGTTGGTGTTGAAGTGCAACTTCCACGTCGGCACGCCCGCAATCGAAGCGCGGTACGCCGTCTCCTGTCCAGCGCAGATGTATGCATAATCGCTCCATGCAGCCGAAAGGCGATTGTACTGCGTGCTGTTGGGGGAGTTGGCAAAGGGTGAATCTGGGTGTGTGGCGGGGTCCGGGTAGAGGTCCTCGAGGAGCTGGAGGTCGGTGCTGTTGAGGGCGGGGGAGATATTGTGGAGGTAGTCGAGGAACTCCTGGTTAGTCTCCTTGTCGCCGGCCATGTAGTACTTGGCCTCGTCGTTCACGTTGGAGGTGATGACAGGCACCTTGAAGAATGTGCCGTCGTAGCCTGACTGCGAGCCAAACTTCTCCAGCAACGGTCCACCCTGCGTGGGCTGGAAGGGCCAAGTCAGAGCCGGGTCGTAGTCGTTATAAAGCTTGGTGCTGATGTTTCGGATCGCGTCGATATCCGCGGCACGGAGGCAGGCCAAGGTCGCGGCATTGTCGGCATCGAGCGGGCAGGAGAGGTAGTTCATGTACTCCTCATACTGCTTGACGTAGAGAGGGTATGTAGCATTGGGAAACGCACGGGCGGTAACGGCACCGGACTGGTGGATTGCTCTGGCGAAGAGTGGTTTGCCCTCATCCTCGTTGTAGTTATGGAAGTAGAGGATACCGACGGAGTGACCGCCAGCAGAGCGCCCACCGATGGTGACGGCCTCCGGGTCGCCGCCGAACGCGGCGATGTGCTTCTGCACGAACTGGAGGAAGAAGTGCTGGTCGCGCATGCCGAGGTTCAGCAGGCCCTCTTCGTCGAAGAGAGCAGACGGCAGGAAACCCAACGAGTTGATGCGGTAGTGGAAGTTGACGACCGTGATTGGCTCCTTTGAAGATGCGGCGAACGCAGCGCCATCGAAGCTCTTGTAGCTACCCGCGTAGAACGCGCCGCCATGGATCCAGACCAGAACGGGCGTCTTCTGGTCGAGCGGGATGCCGCGCGTACGGTAGACGTTGAAGTTGAGGCAGGCCTCATCTTGTGTGCTGACATCGGTCGAGGTTGGGTCCTGGATGCAGGTCTTGCCGTACTTTGTCGCCGCCTTGGTGCCGTTGAAGGACGCGGGCCAAGTTACGGGGTTAAAGCGGCCCCCGCCGACCGGCTGTGTTGAGTAGTCGATGCCGAGCCAGGCGTCTACGGGGGCGGGGAGAGCGCGTCCGCTATAGGTCGAGTTGACGACGGTGCCGGTGAACTTGCCGTAGCCCTTTAGTTCAACTGGGTTGTACGCGGTGGCGGGCGAGATGGCGACTTGCGACGCCGCAAAGAGCGTGTTGAAGGACGTTGAGAACTTCATATTTAACGACGTGCTCGATCCCTCGTCTCCGAATGGGGCTGCTGCTGCTTGACCGCAAGGAAAGATGGTAGCAAGAGAGCACACCACTGCTAAGAGGCAGGGCCGGCCATCGCAGAGCTTTAAACGCATTTTCGAATCCCCTCGTCGGTGCCTTGCCCCTCCTCCTCTCTTTGCTATCGAGTAGACAATTTCCCAGCGACCCGCTCAGAAAGCAACCTCTCGCCGCTCGACGGAGACGGCGTTAACCCATTCGAAGCATTGATCAGTGAAGATGCGAGGTTTAACAGAGCTAGAACCCTTGACTCAGGCACCCGCAGAGCCCTCAGAGCGGAGAAGTCCCGAGCGACTGGGGCAATGAGCACGCTAGAATGGCGCGGATCGATGTCATTCAACGAGGGGAAAACAAAGTCGGGGTCGCTCCGATATCGTCGGCCTTCACATCTGGGGTCCGGGGACCCTGGGGTTTCTCAGTGATATCAGTGAATTCAGTGTAAGCAGCCAGTTGAAAGTGATTTAATGTGATAAGACGCGTGAATGACTAAATCAGCTAACGAAATATTCACCTAGGGGCCCCGCAATGTTATCCTTGATTGATGGGCCCAACCTCGTCCAGGATGCTGGTCAACGACACAGATGGGGAGCTCCGGCTTGAATTTGTGGGGTCGACGATGGCTGTGTTGTTGAGAGAGGATAGGAGACAGGACATGATAACATAGTCTTGATGCCAGAAACTTCCGTCACCCGATCCCATCTTCCGCGATCCGATATCTGTTATCACTGTTCTCTTGGGTTGAGGAAATCAGGCACACTCTTGAGTTCAGCTATCGCTGTGATCGAACTTGGGTTCAGGAACGAAAACCCACCAGCATGGCCGTGCGCTAAAAGCCATCACTAGGTCTCTCTCTATCATTGGCCAATTCGTTATTTCGTGTCTTTTGACTAAAGCCATGTCCAAAAGTCTGGTCTATCTAGCCCGTCATCTCATCATCCTCGTCATCATCATCTTGTCCCAGCCCAGCTTCGATAAACGCCGCCCGAGTTCTCTCAACGGCCTGGACAAACTCTTCTCTACGAAAAGCATTGGGCCATCCGTGTTCGACGTACAGTCGCTTGATCTCCTGTACAACACAAGGAAATGTCTTGGTCAGTCACGAGTCTACGTTTCCTGTTGCTGATGAACTCACCTGGCCTTCCTCGGTATACCCTTCGACAACTCTCGCCTCCCACTTCCCAGAGCGGGGCGCTGGCACAACATCCAAGTTGCCGACCTGGGCATAGATCTTGTCAAAGTAAGCCTGGATGGGAACCGGGTCCACAACAAGCCACTGCTGATCTGCGGGAACGTCCTCCTCGCGTTTGTCGAACTCGGTCCCGTAAGGGTAGATGCATCCTGTGATGGCCTATGCGTCAGCTTCACAGAGCACTTTTGAACCAAAACAGCTCTGCGTATAGTCCAGCTGACCTTGATTCGTATCGATCAACCACCAAATTCCCTCGTCCGCATGCGTCAACGAGACCATGTCCGCCGGCACGGGCCCATCAAACGGCGCAAAGCCAAGGTCCAAGAGCGCCGTGTTGGCAAACACTTCAGCGCCGTCGCCGTGAATCCCATTGGCGCCGCCGAACCACCGCCCGTCGCGCAGATACCGCAGCGGGAACGTCTCGGTATAAATCTCGACGGGGTCCGACTCTTCGTTCTCGTGGACGAAGGGGATGTGCCGCAGGAGATCAATGACGGTCTCGGAGCGGCCCATGGCCCGGAGAGCATCCACGCGGAGCTCCGTGTCGCTCCAGCCGGCGGCGGGAGGGAGTTCGATGGCTGAAACGTCCATGTAGCCCATGCGCACCAGCAGCTCGTAGTGCCGCTTGAGGCAGTTGACGACGACGTCGCGATCGTAGCTAGTCATTTTTTTCGATTCTTGCTTATTCTGCTTTTGCTGAAGATATTAGGCCGATGTGATAAGCAGACGATGAGGAGTTGGAGAGCCTTGCAGATGAGATTTTCACTGAGCGGTCCCTTTGTGGGGCATATCATTCGAGGCACAAATGGACTGGTCCCTCACTGAGCCAATGACTGGATTCGGCGATTATGTTTGATCCCGTCTACATGGTGTTTTGGCATATCACCTCGAGCAATTCTTGATATCTTGCCTACGCAAATTGAGTTTCATCATGACAACTACATTGTACCTTTTATCTTCACTGCGCAGCAAGTGGACTTACGGCTGTACCACGACGAGAGGGGGGTCATGAGTAATGCTTGCAAGCTTGTTCTTAGGGTAAAGAGAGTGAGTTGAAGGCGACCATTTTTGAAAAAGACCCGAACCTTCACCAGTCCACGCAACCAGCAAAGACCCGATCGCCGGTTCTGAAGATCACATTACCCACACTGAGTGTGGCTTACTTCAGTTTTCTCGTATTTCTGGAGGCTGTGACCGAAGGGTGAATGCGAGATTCGGTTCCCTAGTAATTGCACTTGCCCAGGTACTTCAAAGGGTAATGAAGTTCACCTCTTCATTTCACATTACTTATCCACAGCTCATGAGCCCGAAGACATATTGCAGTTAACTTAACACTTCCCATTTGCGACACCGCTGTTGAAATCTGCATGACCTCCTTTGAGTATTCTCGGCGGCATCTCTCATGAACTCATTCGATTTGAATCAGCCAGTGGCTCCACAAGATCTCAGCCGAACTTGATAATAATTCTGGTGAGGTCGCGTTGACAGGAAGGCATTCGTACGGATGATGAGTTTTCCTCCTTCGGTTTCATATTACGGGCGATGTCGTGAGTTGAGTCGCGAATATGAGTCACCCTCAATCGCGAGCTATCATAGAGCTGCAGCGCTGAAATTTAATGCACTGCAGCTACTAATAGCGGATATTTGATCCACCGATTTTAGCACCTCACATATCTCTCACATCATTGCTGCAGCTCATAATATCATCACATACAAGTCTAAGAAAGCAAACCCTCGAAAACCACGCTCTACTTTACACCACGTAGACGAGTATTGAGACTCATCAGTCATAATGGCAACGGTACACACCTCCGTCCCGGAGGGTCTCATCCCTCTCCTGGAATCCCACCTCCCAAACTCCCTCGTCCTCCTCCGCCGCCTCCAATTCACCCGCTTCAAAGACGGCATGCGCCCAACAGCCCGCATCATCCTAGCTTCAGACGCACCACTCCCTTCTAGTGCCTCGCAACAAGATGCCGATGCATCAGGTCAAGAGCCACGGAACTTCTGCGCAGCATACCTCGACTTCGGCAGCACCAAAGAAACCCAACTCTTCATGTACTCAACAGTCGAAAACGCCCCCAACAAAATTCTCGCGGACGCGGACAAGAAAACAGCCGAATCCCAAATCGCAGCAGTCCTCGATGCTGTAACACAAGTGAGCAAACAACAACCAGACAATAGAACGCTTCCCGGTGCATGCCTCGCCGGAACCCTCGCCACACCCACGCGGGACGCCATGCTCCGAGCCGGCGTGCGCGTGACACCTCGCCAGGACTACGAGTATGAGAAATGGCTGTTCCGCGTCGATGAGATTCCGGATTTCGAGGATTGTGTGACGTTGCCCGAGGGAGCTACATGGGGCCCGGCAACGGAGAGGGACTGTGAGATTGTGATTTCCAGGACGGATATTCCGCGTCAAGTGTGAGTTCTTGTCGGCCTCCCTGTGTCTTTGTTTTTTGTCAAGTTGTTTTGGAACTTGTCAGAGATGGACACAATGGCTGACAACTAGATAGAAAGACGTTGATGTCGTGGCCCAGTTTGTTTCTCAAACTAGAGGATGGAACGCCTATCGCATGGTCATTCCTCGGTGAGTTTTTCGATCCGTTCTAGATACGCAAGGCGTCTTACATTCATCGCTCCCGCCACGATCTGTTTACATACATCACCCACCGCTCCTCGGCAGCATCATAACTCTCTGACTCCTGCTTAGGCACCGATGCATCGTTATCAAGTCTCCACTGCGAGGTAAGTTGTGCAAAATACCCAAACCCAACACGAAGAGAATACTTGAATACTCTTCATTCATGATCTTTCAGTCTAACACAAGACCCCGCTCAGCCACCTTACCGACAGAGAGGCTACGCAAAGGCTCTGGCGTCGAAGTTGATCAAGAGAGGTACGAGCGAGTACGGCGCCGATGGTTGGGCGTCCGCCGACGTGGCGCCGTATAACACGGGGAGCAAAAAGATGTGCCAGAGTCTCGGTGGGAGACATACCTGGAACGTTTCGTGGTGAGTCGTTCCGTTTCCTGCGTAGTAACATGGTTTATCTAACGGTGAAGCGGCTAGGAATGTCATTCATCTTCACGAGGTATAGACGAAGATGTGAAGGAAATCGATCTAGAAGTTTGCTTCATAGTCCAATCACCTTGTAGATGTATATATCAGCCACCTTATAAATTGCGTTGATGTAAGGTAGTCAAAGATTTTCCTAGACAACCTGATTGGTAGACAGAAACTGCGATTGTTTCCAACGGTATCGACCATTGTTGCGCAGTGATGTCGCAGACATTATTCGCGAAATAGTCAGTAAAGAGAAAAGGTAATGGGTAATATAACATTATTTTTTGCGTTTTCCCGTGATGCGCTTTACTCCGAAAAGACTGCCAGCTCCAAGAATCAAGTCTTTTGGCTTTTTGCACCTCATTTCTTCACCAAACCCGCTCCGGTCCCCAAGAGCACCCGCATCCCATTGAAAAAAACTCGAATCCTCAACTCCGGTACAATCCCGCCGGTGACAGCTGTTTGATAACCCATCTCTACCGCCACAACCTCCCAATCTTTCCTCCCTCGGAGATGCACGGTAGTGGGGTCCCCGGCTCGTTGACAGCTCCAGGTTCCCACTAAGCTAAACCGGATGAACGGTTGTGGTGGGGTGGCATGTCTCGGTCAGAACCTAAGAGTATTGCCAACCAACCCCATCCGGATCTGCAACGGGTGTGGAAGATGCCGCCCTCAACAAGAAAATTTTGCCCATGTCGCGATGAGCGCCATGCAGCGCGCGCGCACAAACGGTAACCGTCGAGAGCCGAGACTCCATCCGTGAGTCACCCGTGGGCGAACGCTCCGGTCCACCCCTCCTCATCCCATCTCTCCCGTCCCATTCAACCCCGCACTGGGATAGCGTACAGCTTCCCAAGGTAGGTCGGTCGGTCGGTCGCAACTTAGAAGTCGGCACCGGGAAGGTGGTAGAGCTTCTGAACGTCGTGCAGCATCTTCTCGTGATCAATCTCCAGGTCCTTGAGGAGACCGTCGTTGAAACCAAAGACCCAGCCGTGGACAATGGGGAACTTGTTCTTGGCGTACGACTGCTGGATAGCAGCCGTCTTGATGACGTTGCGGCACTGCTCGAGAACGTTGAGCTCGACGAGCCGATCGTAGCGAGCATCCTCCTCCTTGATGGCGTCGAGCTCAGCCTCGTGCAGGCGGTAGACGTCGCGGATGTTACGCAGCCAGGGGTTGAGCAGACCGAGGTCCTTGGGAGTCATGGCGGCCTTAACACCTCCGCATCCGTAGTGGCCACAGACGACGATGTGCTTGACCTTGAGGTGGCGGACGGCATAGTTAATGACGCTCATGACGTTGAGGTCAATGTTATTGACCATGTTGGCAATGTTGCGGTGGATGAAGGCTTCACCGGGCTCGAGGCCGGTGATTTGCTCGGCGGGGATGCGCGAATCGCTGCATCCGATCCAGAGGTACTCGGGAGCTTGGCCCTGGGACAGGCTGACGAAGAAGTTGGGGTCCTGCTTCTTCTTCTCCTCGGCCCATTTGCGGTTGTTCTCGAAGACGCGGTCGTGCGTCTGTTTGAGGTACTTCTCAATGTCGCTTTCGGCCATCTTGCGGTCGGGTCTGATAGAAGGAGGAGTAGACGATGACGATGATGGCGGTGCGCGTTGATAGGCGATGTGGGAGAAGCTGGAGGTACGGTGGTTGTTTAGGTGTTGATGCTGAGATCCAAAGGTGGTGTTGGTGAATCTGAGAAGAGGACGTGAAGGTTGCGCAGGGGAGGAGAAGAGGCGGGAAGGGAGGGAGCGCGGGAATGGGCTTGCTTTAAACATTAGAGGGGATTTATTTATGGAAAGATCGAGAGAGGAGAGTGCGAAGCTAATGGAGGAGTCCTAATGGAGGATGTAGCTCGGTGTTTGCTGCAGGTAAGCGGACCTTTGAGCTGGCGGGCGGGCGTGGAGGTTGTCAGATCGGAGCAATGGCAGCCAAGGAAACCCAAGATGAAGGAAATGTCGCACCTTTCCTTCTTCCCACGGAAGATTTGTTGGGAAGCTCCGGCGATCGCGCACCGTTGGCGGCTGCACGCGCTGCCGCTAGTTACCAGAGGGCCACAGAGACCACAGAGGAACCACAAAGACGTCACTGCGCACCTCAGCGTTCAGGACGGTGTCGCGGACGGTGCGTGGACGGTGCGGCCTCCTTCTCGATAGTCCGGCGCTCCGGGCGGGTTGTTGGGGTGACGGGCAGGCTAATTGCTGTTCAACTTGGGTCAAGATCATCGTGGATGGGGACCTCAGCCACGGTGGATGACTCAATTTCTCAATAGGAGTACAGTGCAAAAGGGAAAAGAGCCGGGGGAGAAATGTTAATGCCGGCAGATGCGATGGCAATCTTGGCGAAACGGATGAGCAAAGGTTGATGATCTAGCTTCTGATTGTACATGTACCCAGAGGCAAGGAGCAACGGGACGGGAATGATCGATCTCAGATGGCTAGATCTGATTGATTATCTTCCACTTAGCCTCGAGTACCTTGTGATGGGATGCAGAGCAGCGATGATCCCGCCAGGCTACAGAGCAATGGCCACACAAGTTTCAACCATCTCGACTGCTAAGTTTCAACTGCCACTCTCGATCTCTTGGCTTATAAGACCCGACGGGATAGTATCCGGCCTATACTCCAGCCACGGCGGCCAATTCTCCTTACCTAGGCTGGCCTCCATTGAGTCTTTCAGCCGCGGTTGGCATGTGCAGATACCGGGTCATCTTCCGAGTTTGCTTGAGGCAGACAGAGAAATATACACTCGCAGGCTACTTCCCGGCTGGCCAAGCCTAGCCGCGCATCAGTGCGGCATGATCCCGAAAACCCGGCACAACGGCCCCCGAAGAATGCCCGGGTGTCTCCACAAATTCCGATGACCCGGCACCAAATGGCACCGGCAGTTGCCCCTCTTGGCCCGGTCGCCAACCCGTTCCATCTGAAGCATCAACTCGCTTCGCCAGAGAAATCCCATCAAAGTGCCGAACCTTGCAGATGATACCCCCCATTTCCTCAAAACTCAACGGGTCGCCGCGGACGTGTGAACGAGCGCATCAAGGGGACCCAGCGGGGTGTGCAAGCGCCAGGACCTCCATGGGCACAGTGCCGACTCATGTTACCGTCCTCCCTTTCTCACTCAAATCCCTCTGAGCAGCTCAAGCCCCAACGGTCCCCGGAATTTGGGCCATCACGACGGCACGCAACCAACACGCCCAAGGGTCTCGCCAACAGAGCCACTCTGCGCACCCGGTCTGATCACTCAGTCCGGTGAGAAAAGAGACTGCTTCTCGCTCTTGAAACCGGAACCAGGGGGGAACCCCTGCATTGTCAGTGTGCCGGCGCCGGTAAGCTTGTTGCCTTTCTCGGCCGACGCCACCACTTGTTCGTCTTGTCATCCACCAAGAGCCTCACAGAGCTACGGGCACATCCTTCGATCCTAGGCGGTTAGTAGTTGCTGTCACGATGAAAGACGGCAGCATGTACGGCAGCCAAAGAACCACCACCGAGACGTTGAGAACTTGAGAACCCAAAAGATGTTCACTGCCTAGAGTGACAGAACATTGAAGATGAAGTACTTCACCTTACTCGCAGCCCGCTTGCCACGAAGTTTCCTGGCTGCATTGCAGGTCGCTCAGGTTGAAGGCAAACTCATCACCGTTTCAAGACGAGGAAACAAGGCGTCCCGTGAGCGCAAGTCACGCATGATAAGCAGTCGTCGCATTCTTGCATACCAATTTCCAGTGCTGATTCCTGGTACATAACCATGGGCAATCCCTCACTTACGTTCCCTGACTTTGACTTGCTCCTCGAGTGAATTTTCATTTCCTTCATAGATGCCACCAGTTGGCACGTTATAATAATACAACCTTCGTTCTGGTTAACGAGTCTTTTCTCTGGTATACGAATAAAGTCATGGTCGCTTTGGACTTCTCAAGAGGCCTCGGCCTGGCCGCCACAGTCTTGGCTGTATCACAAGCAATCAACGCCGCCATCCTTCCTCGGCAGAGCAATGATGCCCTTCGACCTTGGGTGACGGTCCAAGCCGACGGCGCAGCCAAGACCATCACCCCGACCGTCAACGACGGCAAGACCACGTCTGCCTTCACGGGCAGCTCTACTCTCCCCACGGCCGATGCCAACGGCGCCGGGTCCTTCCTTTCGTGCAACCAGGCTGCGGGAGCCAGCGGCGTCAACCAGCCCTTTTGCTCTCCCAAGGCTGACACTAAGGTTGATGGAGGCAAGACCTATTGGAGTAAGCACCTCCTCCACAAAGTGAATTCGACTTGCAAACAAACACTAACGGGATCTAGTAACATGGGACACCAGTCTCTTCCCCTTGCCCAATACAATGGTTCAAGTTCAGGGTGACTACGGCGTCACAAACGCCATCGACTCAGGCCACGGCTTTACCTCCCAAATGCTCCCCGCATCCCAAGGCCACTTCGCCTGGGCAGCGGTAGGTTACAACATGGCCGCCAACGAATCTCTCACCGTCCAAATCTTCCTCGCCCTCCCGCAGACCAACGGCTCCATCACCGCCCGTCACCCAGGAGCCAAGGTCAGCATCGTCAACCGGCCACAAAACGACAACAGCAACCAGAGACGCCGCGGACCCAACGTGTTTGGTATCGTTCTCCCCATCGTCTTTGGCGTGCTTTCACTGGTCGGCATCGGCTGGTTCGTGTGGTGGTACGGCCGCAGAAAGGGCATGTTCTCCTCCCGCGGCGGAGGCTACGGTGTCGGCAAGAGCCGTGGCCAGAGAACGGCTGACGTCAAGATTGGGCTTGGAGACAATGCGTTCTCGTCGCCTGATCGGGGTGTTGAAATGATGCCGCCCCCGCCGAGACCGCCTCCGCCTTCGGAGGGTAATGTCTTCCGTAACGAGATGAGTAGGCAAGAGAGAAACGAGAGGGCGCAGACCATGATGTGAGACTATAATTGTTACCACTGAAAGAATGACAGACACACAGATTGTATGGCTATCAGCTTGACACACATTCACTTAGTTCTGCTTGAGGTGTGAATGGGCGGCAAACTAAATCTTAATTCAACATAATAATACCCATATCCAAAAAGAACAACCAGATAATTACCCAAGAAAATCATTGAAGATGTTCCATAAAGCAAAACTTGCATTCGAAAGACATAATAGTGAAGTGAGAGCCTGGTTCATCATGGATCATCTTCAAAATTTGAGTTCGAGGCCAGCGACAGGGGAACATTCGCTACTAAACGCTTTCATGTTGCATCTTGCGGTTATGTCTCAAAGGATCAATCTATGCTCACCACCAACGCCGCAGAGCCAAGATGTATGAGAGTAACAAACAAAGATTCAAAGTACTTTCCCAAGGTGATTCAATCACTCGTCTCATATGGAAAATTTCTAATGCAGAAAGCCGAGGTGGGCTATGGGAATCATCACCCAAATCGATGCTGGAGATCTCACCGAGCCCTTTCTACGGTGAACGATTCACCGAAACCAAAAGAAGACTGGCGCACTTTCGAGGGTGGATACGATGGCGGGCTTGACGGTCCACTCAGAGGCTTCCAAAAACCACTGAGAGATGCCGATAGGCACAGACCACCCCAGGGTTAACAAACCCCAATCACCCGGGAGGACCCACCCACCGGAAATTCTGACAGCGCATTTCGAATTCCGTGTAGTCTGCCGCGATCGACTTTGTGAACTTTTTCTCTCTTCTTGACCCCGTCCGTTACAGCATCGACTAACCCGACCGTCAACCACCCCACGACAACAGTCAAGATGTCCGCCGCCCTGAACAAGATCGCTGCCAACAGCCCCTCGCGGGCCAACCCCTCCGAGCTGGAGCAGAACATTGCCCAGGCTCTGTACGACCTCGAGAGCAACACCGCCGACCTCAAGGTCGCCCTCCGCCCTCTGCAGATCGTCTCTGCCCGCGAGGTGAGAACTACCTGAAAGCGACAATCCCAAAGCCCTGAAGACTTCCGAACCCGCGAATTCTCCGGAATCGAAAATCCTGTTCCCAGCCGCCACGGAAATTTAAGCACGAAGAGCCACGAACATGGGCAACACCCCACCCAATTGACGAGCGCGGTGCGAAGCAATGGAATCCCCGAAGCCTTTTTCTCGATTGAAACACATCAGGATTGAAGAGGACTAAAGGGAAAGAAGTTGCTGGTATTGGCATCGCGCGTTCCAGTCTTGGGAGGTGCCCATCGCTGGTATCTTCAGCTTCACCGTGGCGGCGGAGATTTGAACGCTGAAAAGAATGATAATCTCAGGAACAGGACGGGAAGCGGTCCAAGGCATCGTCCTGGAGCTCGCATGCTGACTTGTGATCTTCCTATAGATCGAGGTCGGCCACGGCAAGAAGGCTATTGCCATCTTTGTCCCCGTTCCTTCCCTGCAGGGCTTCCACCGCGTCCAACAGCGGTAAGTTTCTCCCTCTCTCTTTTCCCAGACCTACTCTGTCCAATATTAAGACCATTCCTAGCCTCACCCGTGAGCTCGAGAAGAAGTTCTCCGACCGCCACGTCCTGATCCTGGCCTCCCGCCGCATCCTGCCCCGCCCCAAGCGCTCCGCCCGCTCCCGCAACAACCAGACCCAGAAGCGCCCCCGCTCCCGCACTCTCACCGCCGTCCACGACGCCATCCTCACCGACCTCGTCTACCCCGTCGAGATCGTCGGCAAGCGCCTCCGCACCAAGGAGGACGGCTCCAAGCTCCTCAAGGTCATCCTCGACGAGAAGGAACGCGGCGGTGTTGACTACCGCCTCGACACCTACTCCGAGGTCTACCGCAAGCTTACCGGCCGCGGTGTCACCTTCGAGTTCCCCCAGTCTGGCTCCGCCGAGTACTAGATTATCGTATCTAGTGTCTTGCGCATTGGGCGGGTGTTTGGTGAAAAATCAAAAAAGGAATTATGGTCAATGATGGGTTTGGCATTTAGTCTGCTGCAATGAAGGCATGGCAATGACTGGTTGATCAAAAGGGTCTGGCGTCTACAGGGATATAAACTTGGGCGATTCCATTACAGGCTGCCCAAAAAATGCATATACCAAAACACTTGACCGCTCCTTCTTAACTATCTGTTCCCGTCTCTTCGTGATTATGTCCATTGTGCTTGAAGCCATTGCCTATTATATAAAGGAATTGGGGGTATCATTTTTCATTTGACATTAGTCTAGTCCTGGTTGATGCGTCCAACTCCCAAGACACACCAGTAGGCCAGCTCCCTCTTTTCCCTCGCCTCCTTCTCCCTGCTTGTCGCAGTACCGACGTCGCCTTGAGCTTCCGTCTCCCACTCAATGCGCACAAACATGGGTATCTCCAACACATCCTCGTCCTCCCGCAAAGCACTATCACCACCTGGCTGCTGCTCAAGCCTCAACGAAGCCGGCACGACCTCCAGCACGATGCTCACCCAGTTGCGGCCGCGCTCGTAAATCTTGCCCACCTCAGCCTGCTGCATCCCGCCCTCTTCCCCTCTCCTGCGCTCCTTATCGCCGTCATCCTTGAGGGCATCGTCCCACATGTCCGTGTTGGCATCAATCTCGAACTGCGGGCACAGCACCGTCACGGTGCTGGCGAACCGCCCAGGCGTGCTTGACGGGGTGGCCAGCGACACCTTGACCGTCTCGAAGATGGGGTTCTTGAAGGTCAGGAGATACTGCACGGGCTTGAGTGGCGTAAGCCACAGTTCCTGGGGTATCGGCGGCCGAGCGGTCGAGGGGAGGTTCTGGACCTCCGACTGCAGCGGTCGGATGGTGATTGTGGGGATGTAGCTGCCGGCCACGAGGCGGATGCGGAACCGGGTGTTGGAGATCTTTGCTTCCGGCTTGCTGATGATGTGTCTGCACAGCGGGCATCTCTTGGATCGCTTGGTTCTGAGGAGATAGGGGATGGGCCGGAGCTGGTCACGGAAGCGTACGTGGTCTTGCTGTAGGCAATTCTGGGCTAGAGTCGTTGTGTCGTCGGGATGCGTATGTCTGAGTTTCTCAATCTCTTTCGACTCGTCCAGGTCGGTGGTCTTCAAGCCCTCGTCAGGACTGACGGCCTCCCTCATGATCTGCACCTTACCGCGAGCCTGTTTATTGCCAAAGTTGTTCCCAGTGTATAGACTCATGATGCGTGAGAGTGAGCCAGGCGAGTTGAGGCCTAGATCACCTAGTGATGATAGCCCACCCGCTGAGGGGTTCGAGCCGGCCATCTGGTTCTGGTAGAAGGACTTGAGCTGCGCAAACTGCAGTTCGGCATCCATGTCCTCCGGGTTCAAGTGGTATTCCCCATTGCTCTCCTTTTTCCTCTCCTTGTGCTCCTTGGGAGTCAGCTTGGGCTGGCCTCCATTCTGCAGCTTGGCCAACTGCCCGTGGATGCCATTGGGTCGGTCGAATTTGACTCCGATTTCGGTTGAGCTCCAGTTACAGTATGAACATGACAGCACGTAGGAAGCGCCCTGAGGAGCCGTTCCATCAGCCGTGAGAAGGTTGCTCTCGGGCGGAGTATCGAGAGCCGTAACAGCGAGGGGACCAACGCAGACGGGACATTGGAAGCAGCTTCGTGTGCACCTGCGATAGTGTTAGCCAACGCCGGAACTCTCAACCAAAGCAAACCCTGCGCATACCTGTTGCCTTCGCTTTTGAGGTTGCTGCTTGGGACCTCAAACAAGCAATTGGGGCAGTAGTAGGTGACAATCTCCTCATTGACGCATCGCGGGCACCGAATTTGGTGACAGTCTTCGCAGTACATCAGATGCTCCAAAGGATAAAGACTGAAGTTGGCGCGCGGGGCGCGCGGGTCGAATGTCCGCTCATCGTCCTCTGGGCTTCCCGGCGTTGACGACCCGTCCTCGCTGGACTGGTGAGTTTCGGAGCAGGGGCAGCGGATGTAGGTGTAGGGGGTTAGAGGTGCCATTTTCGCTCCGACATAATGCTATGCGGAGTGAATTCTGGGATTGAAGAATGTGTGGTTTGCCACGAGGAGAGGAGGGCGACTGTGCCGCGCAGAAAGGCTCGAGGAAGGGCGTTTGAGAGTCTGCACGGAGCTGTCTCCCGGACGCGACAATGCTCCTCCTCACCGAAATCCCGCGCGACCAGAGCCCAGGAGCGTGGGCTGATAAGACCGATAAGAAGGTGAGCCTCTTGTTATCGATAAGATCAACCACTGGCAGATAAGCCCTTACGTAAGCGGCCTCGAATGATCCCACCCTCCAATTCGGCTCTCCAGACTCAGGACTTACATGGAAGTTCAGCTTGGTCCCTCCGAAGGCTGCTGTTAGCCTTCAGTCCATCGCCTATTATTGCGCTCGACTGCATGGGAAAATCGCCTATTGAACCGAGAAAACTCTCTCTCTGGACGGACATTATTGATCAACATGCTTCAAGCTTGTCAAACCCACGCGAGACCGAGAACCGGTTCTTGTCAAACCATCGTCGATTCCTCGCCAAGAACGCCCTGAGGACGCTGTCACCACTGTCACTTCACTCCTCGCCACGGGCTTCCTCGCCACGGGCTTCATGTCTTCAATGATAGATTTCGGTGTCTCCGGTTGGGGATTCGAGAGGCTTCCCGCATCTGGATTATAAGACTTGCACTTGTCTTAAGCTTCTCTCTGCCGTCCGCCATGCCGGCGGCCAGCTTCGCTTGGCGCACTCCGACTCGTCTGCGGTTTCCTTTTACCGTTCACCTTAGTCCCACTGGGCTGGGTCTTCTTTCTTCAGCTTCGACGTTTTCGTTGCGGCCCGGCGCTGCGCTAATTGATAGCGGTCCAGACTTCCTCAAGTGCGACAGGATGCCAAAAGCCAGCCGCGGGGGTCTGGGTCGTGCAAGCCCTTCCGAAGCGAGCGAGGGCTGAGAGGACATGGGTTATGGTTGGGCTTGTCTGGCCTCCGGTCCGGTGGTGGACAGGAGCCCTTGCTAGGCGGTGGGATCCGCCTCCGGAACTCCTTTGTGCCTCACGACCCTGAGCCGATTTCTGGAAAGATGACTGTTGCCCCGCATGAGGGATGGCTGGACTTGGACGAGTGTGGTCAGCGCAGCTTCTGCCTTGCAGATGCCCTGCATCCCCTCTTGGAGCCGCTGTTCCACGCAGGGCAGAGGCCCGTCAAGGCGTCGATGACTGTGCATGGGTGTAAGTGGCCATGTCCTTCTTGCAGAAAGTCAACGCCAGTGTTTTGGGTCCCGAATAACTCGCAGCTTTCGTCGAATCTGTTGCGCGAGGCACACCGGCGATGGAAATCTCGGGTCGGAAAATATCTATCTGAAGTCGAGAGAGCGCGGCCAGCAACAGTCCTGGGACTGGCCCCAACCACGGGAAAGAGGGTTTTTCTGTCGGCCGACGGCATGAAGCTAGGGAACCCAAACGCACGCTCATCGTTCCATGGCGATGGTTCTCTAACTTGGTCTATCCCGGTAGATCCCGAGCACCGGCCATCACTAGCAACCGTCTGGTTCGGTAGCACAATATCGGTCGCAAGTGAGAGAGACGGAGAGGCACGAAGTTAAACCTATCTGTACTACAAACAGTAATTACGGAAAGCGGACTGATCTAGCGACGATGGAGCGTTCATGGCGGCCGACCTTTGAGGATTCCCCATCCACATCATGGAGTTTCCCGCCGTGACGAATACCCTCATGAGGGGTGACGTTCTTTGGTGCCGATGCTGTCTATCACCAGGCCTACGTGGGTGCAAGACCCAGGTTCAATGTTGCCTCTCGACAAGATGAAGACGGTCAATTTCAATCCACACCTCCCGGATGCGATCGTGGCCGTTATATCACCTTGGGATGACTTCACATCTTGGCCGCCGTGTGACTGATGATTCAGCAGAAGAAAGCCGATTGCGATCGTCCCAAGACAATTAGCAAAGGGAAGCCCAGCTCCCGGGGGTTTAGTCGCCAATTTTCATGAGACATTGCTCAATCGAGCAAGCGGGACGCGACTCTGACCAATCATTGAGCTTCTTTGTCGATGCAAGCCAACGCCGAAGGATGCATCGAGGACGGCGATCCCCAAAGACATGCCCCCGGAGTTTGGGCTGACGGTGGGCAGAGGCAAGCCAGCATCGACGCTTTGCATCACCACCCTATCACTAGCATTCCCCAAATGTCACAGGGAGAAGGGACTGCATACGCAAGAATGCTCATACCAGCGAGGAAACAAATCACATCTGGCGCCTTGCCGATCACTTCAACGTCGACTACCTAGGGTTCCGTCACAACAGCGTTTGTGGAGACGCAGAGACTGTTTGAGACCTCCAGACATCATACGTCGCCGTTGAAAGGCAAAATAATTCCTCTCGCCGTCCTTTTTTGCGAGAAGTCGGCTCACGGACGGGGAGCCTGCAGTGGCACAGCCTGGAGCTGACGGATGCTGCAGCAGCAGTGTTCCTCAGGAACAGATTCACTACGCCTGTATGCGTATGCTGCTGCACAGAGTCTGAGAAGTTTGAAGAGACTGCCAGCGCATCAGAGCTGTGGATGACAGGCACATTTGCTTGGCCGTCCTCGAAGAAGCTGCAGACCAGGGTAGGGTCCGGACTGAGGGGTTCACCCATCGCTCTAGTGGCGGCCCGGTCTAAAACATGGCTTGGAGCTATCCCTCTGTCTCCCGCCGCGTCACTCGACACTCTACGACAGGCAGCTCGGACCGTGGGCAAGCTGGCGGGTCTTTGCCAGGACGCAGCCCAGTCCCGGATTCTGGGTCAAGTCAGTTCTTGATCCGGGACAAGTGACATAAAGCCATCCAGACGCCCACCCGAAGACGTTTTGTAAGGTTTTCGGCGTCCATTTCCCCATCCAACCACAGCTCTTTTGCTCATCCGGACCGGCTGCTTTCGACCAGGTTCGACAAGGCCGTGGACAAGCGACGATCTCAAGTCATTGTTCACTGCTACGGGCGTACTGGGTACATCCGCTAGCTACCTCAATCACTTCAGTGATCAACGCAGATCTGACAGGGGTTCTTGTGGACTATTGGCGGTCCGGAACACCTCCTCTGCAGTCATCGGCGCCATCCACTGCTGTCAGCTCTCAATCTGGGTGAAGCTCTCTGGCCGCATTTAGCTGAGTGCTAAGGCTTCCCGTCACGGGAGCTATTCAACGATCGCCCATATCAACGTACTTGATCCCGCGACTTGTCTCGCGCTTGAAGTCTCACAATGTACGGTCGACGAGATTCTCGAAAACGAATGTCTCTACCACCCACTCGCACAATGTCAACAACATCAACACAAGGCTGGACGCCTAAGACGCTTGGGAACCCTATTATCGAGGGAAGGATGCCTCAAAATTCAAAAGTCAAGAGGTGGGACGGAGCAGCAAGGTCTTGCAGTGATTGGGATAATCTGAGAAGAGTAAGATGATCCTTCCTATCGTGATGAGAGAAATTCAGCTAGCGCGATGTCTCTTGACCTTGAGATTATTCGCTAACGTTGTTGTCTCAGGACCCTGAATTATGGTTTCGCGGTGGAAACTGCTTCGTACACTTGTACGGCAAGGGGCAGTCCCGCAGAGGACCTGCATTTAAAGTACCATTCGGTGCTTTGCTTTCAGCAAACTGCCATCCGTTTGTCAAGAGATTTATGGCTCGCGACATGCCTGAGACGCCAGGTTCATTCCATGACCAGTATGATGATTTGGACCGGTGGAATGCTCTCAACCCCAACGAGCGGATCGAGCTCTACATTCCAGCACCCCCAATGGCAGACAAGGAACAGGCATTTTCTTACCATCTCGCAACGAGAAATTTCTTTGCGTGGATCTTCCGACGCTCAGTGGTCGGCGAGCACCTCGGCACCGCACTCATCGGCCTTCTCAACAGCATGGCGGAGTTCAGAGGCAACGAACAGGACAACGTGTCGGATCTCACTTCTTACTTAGATGAAGAGGGCTACTACGACATCAAGGGTCTGCCACAACACGCACTTGCTATGCTGCATCTGGCCGAAGTCTTCCAATTGAGAGACCTGTACGTCGACGCATTCAGCCACTGCGTTGGAATGAGCGAGGAGCTCTTCTACAGTCCCGAGTATCAGGTATGTTTCGCTCATCTCTAACGGCTGCACGTTTGACTCATAGAACATAGCACATTGGCTCGGTCTCTAAGACGCTGATTCGACGGGCGCGGACTGAGATGAATTCTAGACTCAGTCAAGCAGGTGGCATGCTTAAGAACTTCCTGGAAGAGGAGCTCTCTGAGACACATCTTGGCCTTCCAGCAGGCGGACGTGCCCATCTGGACCGATTCCGATCCTTTATCCAATCATTTTACACGACAAAGTTTGGCTATTACCCGCCATTGTCCTTCGACACTCGCAGTAGCACCATCTTCGACCCTGAGATTTTCAGTACCATGTGCAAGGATTTCAAGGCCGTTTATGACTTGCTCGTAGACGAGGAGTTCACTTCAATCGAGAGCAGCCCGCTCCTTGCGCAAGGCGGGATATGCGCCGTGCAGAGCGTTCAAGAATTCGATGAGCGATGCAACTTCAAGTCTCTGAGGCATCCGCTGCCATTACTGCCCGAGACTGTCAGCGACAAAGCATCCCGTCGCATGTCACTACAGTGGTTGGCGAACACCGCGCGAGGCGACAAGCTAAAGCCTGACCAACGCCTAGTGGCCCACAGTGCCATGATCAAGGCAATGAACATGCGTGACCCAGCACTTCTGGACAACGACTTTGTCCGCGCCTACCGGAAGTTTGAAGAAGACTCCGTTTCACCTCTTATTCGCGTCGATAAGGCCGAGAAGATTAGTCTCGTGGACGCCCGCAAGGTGCGCTGGATTCTGATTTACGCGGTGTACCAAGTGCTCCTCAGCTGCACACAGGCGCCATCGGAAGTTCGCGACACTGATGCGGACTATCACCTCGCAGTGTCTTGTGAAAAGCTGCCGCCCTGGAAGGAGGGACGCCAATTGCAAACCCTCCTACGCAAGCAGACAGACATCGCAGTCGATACTAAGCGATCGCAATCCGTCACGGACTGGGCAACGGGCTGCCATGGCACACCGTCTGTGGTTGTGTCGCCGACTATCGAGATTCGACCAGACGTCGACTACACTGCCAGATCCCGCCGCGACGAAATAGCCTCCCGTCGGCAGTCAACATGCGGGGTCCCACCCGCGGCGGCCCCGGCCCGCTCACGGAGCAGGAGCTTGTCCCGCAACAACCCCTTCCGACGATCCCTCAGCATCTTCCGCAAGCTGGAGGAGCAATGTGCTCCGGCACCCCGCAAGGCATCATACTGCGAGATCGTGGTCCACGGTTACGGCAACGGCACCAATGCTGTCAAGAAGTGGGAGGGTCCTCCCGCAGGGGTCTCGCCCCGGACTCATGTTGCACCGCGTTCCTTCTCGACTTCTTCAGAGTCCAGCGGCGCCTCTGAGGCTCCCTCGATGGGTGGTCACAGCTATGCGACCATCGACTCCACGGCGCCGCCGACCTCGCCCGATGCGCCGAGCAAGAATTGGCCGAACCAGGAGTCGCCTATGCTGAGCCCCGTTCCTCTGCGTGGTCGTCGGCGCATGAGGAATGTGCTTTCCTTCGCGGGGACGCCGCCCCGTGCCAGTTCTTCGGAGTGGACGGTAAATAACCGGCGTCACAGCGTTATCGGGGGCGGCGCTGGTAGCTACGCTCATGACTATGAGGAGCTGATTAAGGAGCAGGAGGCAGACTTCCACCGTCATGAGCTGGAGCCTCTTCCCCTGCAGATCCGCAAGTCTTCGATCCCGATTCATGAGTCCCCGGTATTAGGGCAGATGGATGTGCAGCCTGTGTGGGAGCAGTTCAAGGACCTTGGTGGTCTTACTAGCTGCTCCCCTCTGAATATCTAGACCGGCTGGGTGTACTGAGTACTACTCCGGCCGGAATGTACGAATGGTAGTGGCACGCTACCACTGGTGTTGTTTTCTTTGTATGTATTGATTTGGAAATGACGAGATACCCTGTCGCACCCTCCTTATACAGGCCTGCGCATGGCGATGATTGATATGAGCGATAAGGTTGGGGAAGGAGTTTAAGCCTGGATTGTTATGGCACATTGTACAATATTCTCACTGAAAAATCTGAAGAAAGGAGAACGAGATGAGAACGAGCTTCTTACACCTGAACAGTGACTTTCCATATCACAGATGGCGTCCGATGAGACGAGGCAATTTTTGGACTGAACGTGTCTACACACCACTACGTTTGTAAAGGATAAAAAGGCTGCTACCGGCTGGTATTCCATAAGCTTCCTGTCTTCCCATTCGCAGTTCATCTGTGAAGCACATCATATTTGTACGATGGGCGCAAGTGCTGACAGCAACGACCTGTCCCGTCAGCCCCGTGACGTGTTCTGCGGATGGTACCTGCAGGAATGCAGCCATCACGGAGTTGGATGTGCACATGTCAAAATGTGCGCGACCTATCGCTCACAGGCTGCATCGAATCAGGCTCGAAGCTCATTCAGGAGGGATGTAAATGGGGCTGTCGTAATTTCAAATATTACTGCATATGTCCATTTATCTTTGTCCTATATTTACCGTTGCCATACAACTCAGCTTCCGGGCCTTCATCTACGGCTGGCATGCTCGCGCAATGCTCGCGCTTCTTACAGCGTTGAATGTACAGAATAAGGGTACACGGTTGTCCCTGTACAGATGCGATCATACGAGAGTCTGAGAGTTCAACGCTGCGTCGCAAATACCAATAAACGGATATTACTCAGTCTTGGTCGTCTTTGACGCGAGGGCCAGCCCGTCGACGATCTCGCCGCCCATGGAGAGGATCATGTAGCCTGAGCCGAGAAGCCATGCGCCGCTACAGTTGCGATGTCAAGTCAGCTTCCTTTCCGTGCAGCAATCCGCCTCTTCTGTTCGTGGGGAAAAGCTTACTTGGGAATGATCCAGAGGAAGAGGAGGTCCAGAGGGGGATTGTGGCCAATGTTGTCAAAACGAGAGAAGTACTCGTTCGCCCCTGTCGCATCATCGTCGTTAGTACATTATCGCTTCGCAGGGCTCCGGGAGCAAAAGGAAAGAGAGTCGCGCTTACAGTACAACACCGTCTTGCTCAACGTCATCACAGCCGCGCTGAACCCAATAACAATAGCCAGCGCGCCCGCCTTCCCACCAACAACCTTCTTCAACCCAGCCGGCCCGTCAACGGCGCGTCCTCGCGAGAAGTACAACCAGTAGTAGGCGAGATACATGACCGTCTCGACGGCGTTCAGCGCGCCCTGCGCAGAGGTGAAGCCGTTGCCGGCGTTGAAGGCCTTCCACCCGTACACGTGGTCGACCTCACCGTAGAGCTTGTAGGGCGCCCAGACGGGCCAGTGGAGGTGGCCGCCGGGCATCGTCCAGGGCCGGAGGAGGACGTAGCCCGTGTCCCAGATGACGAGGGGCAGGGAGACGAGGAGCCAGAAGCAGGTGAGGGAGGTTGGCGCGTGGGACCAGCCTTGCGGGGTGGATTTGTTTTCGGGGTGGGTTGTTGCGGCGGTTACGACGGCGCGGGCTTTCGAGGGGATGGTTGGGGAGGCTTCGGGGCCGGTTGAGAGGGCGCGGGAGGAGGATCGTGTTGAGACCATCTTGTTGCCGGCGCTTGGTCTTCGGATTTGGGTGGGTTCGCGATGTGAAGGTATCGTGGGGGAGGAAGCGTTGGCTCGGTATGGTCTCCTGGCTCGTTGACGCGTTATCGAGTTGTGTGTATGTGTGTCCGTGTACGTGTGCTGTCGTCGAGAAGTAGTAGGAGGAGGGAAGCTTCGGAAAGGTTAATTGGACCGAGAAGGACAAGGACAGGTAAAGCAACCGGGATCAAGTCAATCAAACTGCCCGTCCCACTGTCCCAGGGACCTGTTCACAAACGGCCAGGGGCCACAGAATACGTGATCCGTGCCGTTACACTCTCCACACAGGAACCGACCGGCAGTCCTGGGGCTTGAGGCTTGAGCAACGGTGGGTGGCACCCGAATACGACAGACTGACTGGCGCAGCGTGCTGGTGTGTCGCGACACTCTCAAACCTTCTTTGGCCCCTCGGAGCGGTCCTGTGCAGGCTTCCCGAAACGGTTCGCGCCTTCGCAGTACGTACATAGAGGGGCAGCGGCGCGATTAGTCAACCCGAGTGCCGCGTCCCCACACTTTCGCGGATGACTGGTGATCCGTGCTTCGCTAGCGAATTGCGGGGGTGGGGCAGACATGTCGAGATACGACAGGAAACATCGCGAAGGTCTAGTCGGTCATTGCCTTCAAATGTCGGTTCCTGGTCTGGATGCCGCTTACGACTTCAGCCAAGGCTGGTAACACCTGTATCTACCATTGAAACCTTGGGTGCTTGTGCTGATGCTTTTCCATTGACTAGCACATGTTTGCTCTTGTGGGTTTCTCCAGTTTGGCTGACGAGGCTGGACGAAACGAAGAGTGCCTTGTGAACTGTGTATCGAGTGATCGATCAATGGTGCCTACGAAAACCAGAGCTCTCGGTCCAACTATTACCAAGACATGTTTTCATTCCTTCGAGTCCGATCAGGCGAGTGCCTACCACTCTTTGTCAACTTCGACGCGTGATCTGGACAGGATGAGCACCAGTGTGCTCTTGTTTGGTGGCCTCTGTTCACCGCAAGGCCTCGATATGGTTTGTGGGGGAAAAACGCGCTAACGCTAGCTCATTGGTACAGAGGCGAAGGGAGGAATGCAAGACTGTTGACTAGGACGAACTAACTCGATATAAGACAGAGCACCTCGCCTTCTTAAGCAAGCCGTCTGCCGGCAGCACAAAGCAGGCAATTCTCTTTCCCGAGAACCAGAAATCTACCAAACCCAGACGACTTCCAAGACTCGCAAGTTCATTTCCAGTTGAAGCTCCGAGAAGATGGACATTCAACCGATGCATCACTACCGCACAGGGAGCGGAAGCTCTTCGCACACAGAGAATGGCTCGGAGAATGACTGGAGGAATGACACGAAGAGTAATGCGCAGAGCGAAGCGCAGAGCGACGCGCAGACCGACTCGGAGAGCGACTCGGAGACCAACTGTGGAAACGACTTACTACCCGAATCGTATAAAAGCAATCAAGTACCAAATTTCACACCGATCTTAGGGCTGGCTCCGACAGTCCATAAGTGCCCCTACGGAAATTGCGGCAAGGGCTTCACCTCGAAAGCAAATTTCCGAAAGCATTGGATTGCTAGACATGGGCCACTACCTACATCGCGACCAAAAAGCAGTTCCACCACTCGTCGCGATGTCATAGTGCCTACCTCTACCAAGGAATTGTCTCATAGATTGTCGGAACTTCAAGTTTCAGATGTTCCTCAACGGTGTCATGACGCTGGTCTGGCACCCTCAATTGCGACCGCTCCAGAAGCATTTGTTGGAGATTCTGGGCTGGAGATAAGGGACGGACTTGGTGGTAACGTCTTTCCAGCAAAGCCTGGATTCGAACCGCCAAACTCTGGATTGAAGCTTCATCCGCTCGAATATCCTCGAGCTCAACCGGCCGAATTCAATGCACCTTCACTGAACACTGCGTCTGGAGGGCCGTTCATGGCAAACCCGAGAGACCAAGATGCCCACCGCATCATGAATGAATTAGTCCTTAAAGCTCTGCATGACCTTGAGGTCAGAGTGCAAATCACTTGTTGCCAGAAGACCACAGTCCAAGGTGAAGGGAAAGTGCCAACCAGGAAACGGGCTCGGGGGCCTGCAAATCAGCAGCAGCCGCCGAGCCGGAAGCGACAAGCAATTTCTCAGAGGCAAGGAGAAGAATCAAACGAGGATGACAACGACCAATCAAGCGACGACGATCTGGAACGCCACGGTCCTGAAGACGGGAAAGACGATACGGGTGCAGGCGATATGGACCTGAAATACCTGGCTTGCCCTCTCTTTCGAAAGGACCCCCGAAGATACGCGGCTTGCGCGAAAAGTCGACTGAGGCGTATCAGAGATGTCAAGCAGCATTTGAGACGAAAGCACACTAGACCGGAGTACTACTGTCCCACTTGTTGGGAAACATACTCGGGACCCGACGAGCGAGATGCTCACCTTATTCAACGCTCTTGTAATGGCCCAGAAGGGTCAGGCCCACCGTGGATTTCACGGGAGCAAGATACTCTATTAGAAGGAAGAGTTCCAAATGGATCAACGGCGCAACAATGGTTCAGCGTGTGGGACATTGTCTGCCCTGGCCAGACACGCCCGGAACCTCCATTTTGTTTCTTGGGTAGGATGGTCGAGGACATTAGCACCTTCCGGAGAGAGCTCTGGGAAACCAAGGGCTCTGAAATTATCGAAGACCTCGTATCTCAGAGGGAAGCCATGCTCCAGGAACCTCTGACAGAGGAGACTAGGAGTCTGCTCCAGAGGTGCATCATGGACGCTGTCCGGCGTGTGCTGGAGCATCCCGATGTCACACAAGCAAGAGAGGTCCGATGGAACCAGGGCAACGACCTTGCTGAGGCAGCTTCAGTACCTCAATCCTCTAACCGGGTCCACGATGTTTCTGAAGATGTTGCCCTCGCAGTTCATCGCCAACCTTGTGGGACGCAAGATAACATACTCCAGGATGGCCACTCTTCCATTCCGAATCTAAGGCAGGCACTCCAGTTGGATGTCGAGCAGCAGTTCGAAGACTTTACGTCTTTCTGGAATCTGCAAACATCCGAACATGAAGGATTCGATACGGTCAATCGCAATGTCCTTGATACATTTCCGCCATAACAGAGATGAAACCACTTTCGATTCCGTTGCAGATAAGTGCATGAAGCTACCAAAGAGGACGGCTCTTTGATCTGCTGTTTATTTTCACGCAGCCTCAGCATGAGACCGTTTACATGTAGTCCTGTTTCTGCATAGCAGCTGGTCCATAACGCGGTTGTCGTTGTGCTGTTCATTAGGCAGGAAGGGCAACCTCTCGAGAAGTTCCAGTACCTAGAGAGAATGTATAATCATTGACAATCGTTAAATGGACCAAAATCGAATCTATTGTTGGGAAGCTCCTGTCCCGAATGCTAATTTCCCATGATATCTAAACTTACTTGAATTGATGCTCGATGAAGGGACCAAAGTCTTGAACTGGTTGGTGCGGGTATAAAGACACAATTGAAAGTATTGACGCTTAACGGAACTGAACTCCCTTCCATTTGCCATGGCCCGTTACAATTGATCCAACGGAACGAGGAAAAAAGAAGACAATGGAAAGAATGAGATGAGAAACACCAAATCAGTAGTGTAAGAGGCACGTCTTTGGAGACCCTCCGGGCTCACGCTGGCATTCGCAGTGTTCTGGCGGGAGGAGGTTGCTCGGTGACTGATAACCTTCGTTGTCGGCCGCGATTGTATGTTCGTCGAGGAGACGCGCCCAGGTGTCGGTAATGACCGGGTTGATGGTTCGTTGTCGCTGATTCAGCCCTTGCGGAGAGAAGTTGACGCCGGGTTCTGGCGAATGAAAAGGCGCTTGAGCTTGTCCGATGGCTGTGTAGTGCACTCGGGGGGAGGTGGTGTTGAGCATGGGATTTGTCCTGAAGCCAGACGTGTTGGTTTGGTGAGCTGTCCAGTGCTGCTGAGCACCGGGACCATGGTGATTCATTAATGCCAAATTGTATGATATGTGTGCTGCCCGAGCCTGATGGGAGTTCCTTGGAGCATTGAACGGTTGATATGAGCTCTGAAAGGGATCAAACGTTGAGCGGGGTTGCGATTCGTCGATGTAGGTTATGTTTGTCGGACCCAATGAGTTTGGGGGAGACATAAGAGAAGCCGCCGTGGGACTGAAATTGGGAAACACCTGGTTCTGGACAGAGCGCGAGGATGATCTGGAGGGGTGAAATGAAGGTGAAGTTGGTGGCTCCCGAATGCCGTTCGCAGCATAATTGTGCTGCTCGACTGGCAATGGTGACACTCCCGGGCCTGGACCCCAGCTGTTGTCCAACACGCGAATGACTGCCTGGAGGACGTGGTCATTCCACCCAAACTGTAGCCCAAGCTGCTGCACACCAACAGCCATTCTGGGCGCTACTCGTCGTCTTGTCGCAAGCTCGTCGACATCGTCCAGAGTAGGGCGACGCAGGTCTCTGCTCGCCCGGAAAGACAATGTCCCAGATCTTGAACCAGAATTCCTTCTCATCTTCACCGCGAGACTTCTTCAGTCCTCGAATAGAGGCTATTTGGTCTTCATTGAGTCCAGAAGCATCGAAATCACAGACACCAGGGCGGCATGTTCGTGACCTTATATGTGCACTACGTTCTGCGAATGTGGTGAACAAGGAAAAGCAAATGACACAGTGAATGGGTTGCCGGTGGTTGCCTCTGCCTGCTTCTGTCAAGTGTCTCCTGATGTCCCTAACTTCGTCGAATTTGTAATGACGGCAGCACGCATGGGCGACAGTGTCGTGCGCGTAAAAGTGGCACGCGAAAAGCCTCCCCTTCCTGACTGCTTTGGCTTTGGGGGCGACTGCGACACGCGGGCGTTTTCCACTACGCCCGCGGCTCGTGGTGCTAGAAGCAGTGCTCCCGCTTGACTTGGTAGCTCTCTTCCTTCTTCGACTTTGGTCAGTTCCAGAGGCCACGCCCCCGGATCCGCTAGTCTTTCCAGAACCACCGCCTGTAGTGCTGGTCTTTGGTATGTACACGAGATGCTTGAGGTACAGTCCAGGCGCGGTGTACAGTTCTCGAAGGAGCTGTGGAATCGGCGGGCGGGCGAGTAAATCACTAAAGGCTCGCCAGCCTGTAGATGAATGTCCACTGATCTGGGAACTTGGATTCTCGTTGGGGCAGAGCGCTGCTGGCACCCACTTGGCGAATAGAGCGACGGCAACTGGCTTTAGTAGGTAAAGACCAGTGCCACAGACCGCGAGTAAGTTGTAAAGGCCATGGCGAACTTTGACGTCGTCTATTTTAAAGACTGGCCACTGAGAACATGTATGCTGTGCGAGAGTTGGGCCGAGGTGACGGGAGGGTGTTTGCAGTACTGCAACGCCGGCCGGAGAGAGTTGAACGTGGGAATGATTTAGTTGTGACGAGAGAGAACTGAAGAGCGAATCAAAGAAAGTCGGGCAGCCTCCCAGGGCGTCTGCAGCGGTGGAACAAACGTCGACGACCGTACACGGGCCCGATGACTGGCCCAAACTGTTACCCCCGACGGTTGACAATCGGTTGGCTACAGTGTCTGAATTGACGACCAAGCCACTTGAGAACCTCAGTAGCAAACTCATCGACAAAGGTGGTTGGAAACGAAACGAAATGCTTTCAGGCTGTTGGCTGAGAGCGTCTACGAGGCGAAAGCTATATGATATGCTTGTGGAATTGTAGGAAATGAGAAAGGAGGAAAGAAACCAGCGACGGCTTCCATCTGTGAGAAATCCTAGACTCCAGTCGCCTCCTCAACCAACTCCTCAACCAACTCCTCCCCTTAGCGCGGCTGCCTTCCCGTCTCCTGGTAATCAACATCTACTCCCAAGTTCTCACGCCCCGACGAGGACCTCCGATGAGGCTCTTCGGCCGGGCAGCTTGTAATTCTCAACGTACGGAGCTCTGCACAGCCATCGTAGATTTATCGGGGCGGGCGCGGAGGCGTACCGTTCCGTATCCATGCCATCGATCTGTTCAGTATCGCGTCTTCCTCACGGCTATCACGCTCATAGCGAGGCTGTCTCGTATGTCGACTCCTGATCCAATGATCTGAATTCTCCCTTGATGTGAGTCCTGTCGTCAGTCACTTGATTTGCCAGGCTTTCGAGGCGTCTCTTCCTCACCGCCCAGCACTCGAGGTCAATGCACAAGGCAAGCCGTTGCCTCGCGCCACAACAGCCCCTGAGGTCGAAAATCCTGATCCAGATGCGCGGTGTTACAAGGCATTTTTCTACTTTGATTCCACCTGTAGACATGCATCTACGTCACTGCCAGGCAGTTGCGCATGACAAGCGGGCGGATTTACGCATCGAAACGCGCGAGTGCTCGTTTCTACAATGATGGAAATGCGTGATGTACGTACAATAACGACACGCCCCCTAAAGGCGAACCACTTCATACAGTTCACAGCAGTTCGCCGGGCCACAATTTAGAAAGCGAGCGCAACTGCTCAAGAAATCACTTTTAATTGCGCACAATTGCGCTGCGCGATAGTTTGGCGAAATGCGCAGTGAAGGAAAAACTCGTGATATTAGCCACCTGGAAAGACGTAGAAAAGACGTGAAAAAACACTCTGAACTTGAGCACGAGGTGTTCTCTGAATATGTTCCTTGGTCATGAAACGTTCGTCCAAGTAAAAACAAATCAAGCAACCTTGTAGAATCACTCAGAAGAACCAGTCCAGTTGGAAGCTCGAGATGCCGAGCAGCGATGTACACTCCCTCCATGCAGGAGACTCGAGGTGGGTGCTTCAGTCCCCAACCGACTTTCGTCACGCTCATTGATTAGCAGCAGCTCAGGCAAAAGCGGCCAGCGGGCTGTGCGAACCACCAGACTTGAGACGTGGATGATGGAGGAACCGCCAATCCCACTCGCGGCTTACGGTCTCGCACAGACAACCAGCAAGAGCCAAGGAACACACTCAGGAATTAGGAAATTTGATCAGGCGTGGGAGAAGGCTGCGAGGAGATAAAGAAGATACCCGGCACACATCACACAAACAGCGAATGCTGACTTCGAATTTCTTGACTTTGACTTAGAGCCTTTATGTTGGTTCGCCAACAAAGTGACTTGGGCTGGACGCCCTCAGACCATTAGACGGACACTGTGCACTTTCAGGCTGCAAATGCGTGCCCTAACTTACACCTACTGTAGCTAGGGAGGCTTGTCTAAGGTTGCACAGCCCTAATTTCTGCAACCATCTCGCTCCCTTCCAGTGGGGGAGACGTGCCCCAATCCAGCTTGTCACACCTAACGCATCTCAATTTAAGCCTGGTACTTCTGCGCCGGCATCAACAACACGAATTTGGGTAGTGTGGAATAGATAGGAAGGACATTTGGTCATGTGCGCGCCTCAAATCCTGAGGAGAGAATGGAAGAATTTGTCCTATAAGTTTGGAAATCCCACCTACCATTGACACATGCCCCTGAATCGAGAGAGATGTTCTGGGACTTCGAAGAAACCGCCTCAGCTAGCTTGTGACTGCTAGTACCCAGCTCGAGAGCTCAATGATGGACCTAAGTCTTCAGCATCGAGAGTATCCCCCCAACGTAGACGAGGCTTCCCAGCTATCGGGCTCCTACTTCGTCGTTCCCTCGCCCACCACGACGTTTTGGGAGGAGCTTGAGTCGTCTTGGCCCTGGCTCCCTTCTCTCCAGGACCAAACACAGACGTCTTACGGCGGTGAGAATGAGTAATGTGCATGGAAGATTGAACATCACTAAGAGAATTGTAGAAGAGCTTCCTGGAAGTCACTTTCTTGGCGATTGGGTACAGCTGCCGCTTCCAGAGTTACCGTCCCTCAGCCCTGCTCTCCCGCAAGACCGCCCTTCGAAGTCACAGAATGAGGCGTATCTTGAGCCATCGGATTGTCAGGCTGCAGCAATCCCTGGTGTTCATGGCCAAAGCTACTTTTGTCAGCCTTCACAAGGTGGGTTTTGGGAAATTCAACCCCAGATGGGCTGGTTTATACATGACAAATAGACTGACATTGCTCAGATTGTGACATGAAGACCTTTCCTGGACCAAGCGTAGTCCTACCAAGTCACTACCAGTGGTCGAGACAATCTATCCACGATCGGAATGACATCTCATCTAGCCAGGAGACTTTTCTGTGTGACAGACATGCAGATCCACTATCAACCTGTGGCAAAACATGCCACCTAATTCCCAACAGGGCAAGCCATCGCAAGCGAGCGAGATCGCAGTCAGAGCCCCTGGGTGATGAAACAATCGATAGCCTTAACGGAGAGTGCGCAACTGTAAATGATGGCAGACAAGTGGAAGGGGAGCTTCATCACGTGGAGGCAGAGCCATTGCCGAGCAAAAGACTTGCCTGTCCTTTCTATAAGTATGATCGGATCACGCACCTCCACTGTGCTCGCTTCCACCTGAAGAGAGTTAAGGACGTTAAGCAGCATCTTCTCAGGAAGCATCGGTTTCACTGCAAGACTTGTCACGAAGGCTTTAAGGATAAAGAAAAGTGCAAAGCTCATGTCGATGCCGAGCAGTGCGATAGCAGGGCCAGTACCCGGTCGGCCGAGATCGATGAAGGCATTTCGGAGCATCAGGTAAACGATCTCTTGCAGAGGATGAATAGCGGCCCTAAGGGGGATGAACATTCCTGGTACACTATCTGGGATATCTTGTTCCCCGGACGATCCTTTCCCGCCTCACCATTTCTAAGAACCGAAGTGGAAGAAGTCATCTCGACCGTGTGTGACTTGTGGCACAAGAATGGTTCCAAGGTCTTGTCATCTCTTAATAACGGCTCATCGCCGACGGACTTGATAACCAGCACGGAGTTGCCCAGAGGAAGACCTTTCTCTCCCTTTAACTCTTCCACAGGTGAGGATTTGTTGTTGATCTTGGGCCAGCTCGCGAAAGTGAGTGCAACACAAAGCGAGGCCGATGAGACAAGCCTCACGAAATCGTGTTTCTACCCTTCGTCGCCTGCAATTTACTCCCCACCCACGTCTGTCATGACTCTAAGCGCCGTCGACGACAAAGAGAGGTGGCAGCTTGGTCATGCGATGGTGTCTTCTGCTCTGAAAGTTGACGACTTGAACAATATAACACTTGGGTCGAGAAGGAGCACAGAGAAATGACGGAACCTCTGTATAAAAGACTTTTGGTCTAAAGTTGTACTTGAACCAAGAAATTTACGCGTTTATACCGACAAAATATGAACAGGACACGATTCGTATTTGGGTCGATTTCACTTCAGATTTAATCTTTTAAATGACACCAATCTGACAGTTTGGAGCAGCTCAGCAGGTCCCAACACTCAAGCATTACTTAGACCAGACCTTCTGCCATCGACATTTCATCATCTTTCTCTAGAATCTCGTATGAAGATAAACGTTGATCAGCGTAGCTCTAAGCCGAATATAGTTCTTGATTTTCATCACTTGTGGCAAAACTGTGGGATAAAAATGGACAGGGGGCCTCACCGCCAGCATATACTCGCGAATAAAGAACACCGAGGCTTTGTAATGTTGGCATCTTCGGGCATCTTCTTTAGAATTGAACTCCAACTACTATCTCCAATTTTTGGTATTGAAATATAGGTACGACACATTGGAGAAAAATAACACGTGTACAATTGTACTGGAATCCAGCCTTGACTTCTCCAACAACCTCCCAAGTCAACTATGGCAACTACTGGTATTTCGGCAATGCCGACTATGATCGGAGCAATCTAAGTCTGGCGGGTGATTTCAACATTTCGTCCACCAAAATATTGATAACCTCCCGAAGTACCGCTTCATCGAGCCTGATCAGACTTTCACTTCCTACTCCGATCGTTTTCTTTCCTCTGAGCTTGTAAGACTGGTAAAAGTTCCTGAAATAGGCCACCTCAGAGCCCATTGTGTCGCTCAGAAAAGGAGACTTTGGTGGCTGTTGAGTTGTTGAAGAATTCAGAATCTTCCAGACTGCAAACCACTGCTTTTTGCGACCAGGAAGCTGTTGAGTGCGTGCAATGAGATAATCTTGATCTTCTGTGACGCCCCCGAAAATAACTTCACCCGAAGACTCACAACCGCGACTGATGATGTGTTTGTCTCGTAGACTAGCGTTGCAGAATGTATGGGCACAAACTGGGCAGTTGTAAGGGATCCGGTGCGCCGTCCAAATATGATCTTTGACATCTGACATTGTAATCAAAGCATCGACTCGCAGACATTGAAGATGCTCCCAAGGGCTATCGACAAACAAGGGACATGCAAATTCGGTAGATCGAACGCGAATGTCTCTTCGTTGAGATTTACGTGACCCACGTCTACCCGAAGTGATGGGAAGTGTGTTTGTTTTGCTTCGTCGCTTCTCCCTTCCTGTGTCGTGACTGACAATGTGCTGGTATGTCTTGAAACTCTTGTGCGCCTTCCTAGCTAGACTTTTGACAAGTATGTTGTCATCCGCCAGAGCTCTGTAACTAGAAAATGACTGCTTTGCTGATGTCGCCGTAGCCGCCTTCGTGGAACTGCCAGCGGTGTTGTCGTCAAGAGATTCTGGGGTGACAGCCCTAGCGGACGATGGCTCGACGAAAGTGTCTGGATCGAGACCAGTTGGTATAGCATCAAGAATGCATTCTTGCTTCACTGATGTCTGACCTGCTTCCTGGGACTGGTTTCTTTGATGTTCAATCGTCGGAGACTTTTCTTCACGCATCGAACCTGCACAATTCTTTTCAGAATCGTCGACGGGGGCGCGTTGCTGCAAAGGACTCCCGGTACTTGAGGGATCATCCTGTATAGGAATGCCGTCTATCGAAAGTACAGTGTTCTTGTTGCTAATCGACCGTGTGCGAGTCTTCGAGTTTCGTAGGTGGTTGAATCGAGTCGCTTTGACAGAGCCGTTAGTGAAGTCACCCGCATCAATCGTGATTCGCATGGCTTTCGCATGCTCAGTTGCAGAGGCTGTCTGTATCGCGCTAGGCTGCACACGATGATATATTCCAGATACGCCTCGGCGGATCAAGATGCCGCATCTCTGTGCTAGTAGGTAGTCGTAACTGCGCAAACGTGCTCCGTTCCCAAGGTCAAGAAAGATGGTGTCCTCGCTTTCAACAATGCAATTACCTTCTACTACGACCCCGTCGCGACTCCTAGAAATAGTGAAGGTTCTGGCGTTTTTGAAAGGGACACCGGCAAATTTCGTCCTCCCAAACCAGCTAAACTCATCGGCTGAATTGGCAAAAATGCCTCGAGGAATTGAACCGTCAAAGCTGGTCCAAGCGAACAACGACATATCGCCTGTCTTGTCTAAAATTGCCCCCTGAAGGTTCCTGAATGCTAATTGTTTACCCTCGCCGTAAATTATTGGCAAGGTGACGCCAAAGATACCAAGAAGAGCGTATGACGAATCCTCGCCACGAGTATCCTTCTTTCCTGCTGCCCAAGACATCTTGCGTGCAACTGAAAAAGAATGTATAGGTCGTGATGTATCTCTGGGTATGTCTTCTATGCCTGTGACACGCTCTAAGAAAGATTGGAAAGCGAGCGAAGAAGTGTCCCCTCGAAGGTGCCAATTGCAGTCATAGAAGTAGATTCTCTTAGGGAACAGGAGTTCTTGAAGACTCCAGGATCGATTCCAGAACAGAGATTTCTTCCAGGTTTTTGCACATTCGTAAGGCGGGCAGCAGGGCAGATCGAATAGGTAAACGAAGCAAATGCGCGCATTTTGAAAATATTCCGAAAGGGAGTTGATGGCATGAGAGACCTCATCAAACGAGTTTTTATCGATACATAACGAGTCAATCCAAATGTAGTCCAGGCCATTCTGGCGTGCAAGGAGACAAGCATTGTCGATGACTGCTTTGCGGCTTATGTTATCGGGCAAGCTGGCCGAGTCGTATGCGTCCCACTCATCATGTCCAGGGGTCGAGTAAACATGAGATAAGATGGCATAGTCAACTCGTAAAGGGAAGCTGTGATTTGATATCTTTCTGGTCGTGCAATGTACGAGCTTCATTTTCGTAGGTGTTGGTGATGGAGATTGTGGCCCGAGGTTGGTGGGAAGGACGTGTTTGAGGGTGCGTTGCATATGAGCTGGACAGAAGTGAGGAATTGGGGCCCAGAACTTTTATATGACAGAGAACGACTGCGTCACTTTCCGACAACTGATGTAGCCTTGTGGACGTGTAGTTGTGTGCACAGCTGTGCACTGGGCTAGTGTAGCCTGACGCTGCAAGAGGCATGGAAACGCCTCGCGAATGGCCCGTTTGTAGTGGTGGCATGCCGTTCTGGCTTGCATGGAACATCTGAACAACTTCGATCGGGGCGTCTTTGTGGTGCGATAGCGCCATATTAGAACTCCACGCGTGTACCTGAGTACTTGTGGTAACTACATGTACTGTTTTCTCCCCGGCCTGTTCAAAAGGTTGTGAACTTATAGCATGCACTACCCAGTCTTATGAATGAATTTTTTTGCAAACTCGCGAGTGTTGCCATTTGATTGGAAGTGCGACATTCATATGTCGACTAGGTACCATTGATACAAACACTATTTGGCGGACAACGAGGCGAAGCAGTCCACAGGTAATGAATCAAGACGACAAGGTATTCGCAGATACTCCAGCCAGAAGTTCATCGTCAACACTTCATGCCTGTTCCTTGAATCGTGAACCCATATGCAAGGTCTACGCTTAAGATGAACAATGCCATAGACGCCTTGAATGCGGTGATACTGGTTGCATGTAGTCAAATGACACACATCACTGCCCTTACCGGCATGCGACCCACACGTACCGTTGGGTAGCCCATGTACTTTGCTGAATAAAGAAGAAAAGTCTACCAAGGCGTCTGTTTATATCACGGGGAAAGACAAACAATTCAAGTAGATGGCGCAAAGAAAAGAGCTGTTCTGGTACAGAGCATGCCTATCGTATCGAATAGCATCGGTGCCACATTCATAGTTGGGTTCGTATTACAAGGTAGTGCGGATGATGAGGGTGCCTACCCACACCGAGGGTCTTGTGATGTGACCTTGTCCGCGGATGGCCGGGAGATTCTACGCTGAGAATCCTTAGCCCTTTGGCTGAGCCAAATGATCATGAACACCGACTTTGTGCGGGTCTCAGGCAAGCTTTGTGGCCTGACTGCATTTGACGCCCAATTGGAAAGGCAATTGAGGCGGTAGGCCAAGGTCTGACAGGTCGGCTGAACAGCGAAAACAAAGAAAATGATGAACCCTATTTCGCCGCTGGAACCCAGTATTGCCAATTCCGCCAACCGTTGCAAGTGTCTGAGGCCAGGCTGAAATGCTTCGAAGCAAATCCTTAACGACAGGCTGCGTCCGAGAGCACGATGAAAGATCCTCAGAACTGTTCATCTAGCTCTAGGAGGTCAAAAGATGCCGAGGAAAGGCGGGTAAGGTGAGTAGTCAACATGGTTCATGTTGGTCGAGATTATGTCTAATCCGCCCGACGAGCAATACCCGACTTGAATATCCAAGTATATTGCCAGCGGCTAGTACCTCTCAAGTGACCTAAAATCGCACGTATCGAGGAATACCTGATTATGAACTCTCCAGGATTATGTTTTGATATCCGCTCAGGAATGTATTAGGGGCAGTTTTGAGCTAGGCTGAGGCCTCATGAATAAGCATGGGTCCAATTCCAGCATCCCATGATAACACCAACTACTGTGTCTTTGGTAGTGGCGCAACAGCCGCAAATCCATGTAGCGACAATCGGTTTACTGCAAAGCCAACATTTTGATTTGAAAAATGGTGGTTATTATTGGCAGTCTGATTGAGAGGTTGAGAGGGCGCATCCATGGAGGGCCTCCGTGAAGTGCGACGCTGGTGAGGGGCATGTGAGTGGCATGCCTGCGCAGGCACAGGCGCACGTTTGAGTCGAAAGAGACGTGCAGTTGAGTGTCTCATCCACTGCCCATCCCATCTCTTCTTATCCTTCACTCTCGACTTACTCACTTTCTCATTCTCACGAAACTCTTCACGTTATTTCATTCTTGATCATCATTCCCTTAAAACCCTCACGGCTGATGACTGAAAACGTCTCATTTAAAATGAGTTGAGCTAGCTGCGGGTCTCCGAGACATCCCCGAGGTCGGAGGGGCCCTGGAGACGGAGCTGGTGCCCCGCGGCTGTTTTTAGTGTTTGACTCATCGCTTTCAGGAGTGAGAAAACCAAAGGCTACTAATGAGAATTTCTGAGTGAGGAAGAGTCAACATCCCTTCAAGTTCGACCAAACGCCCCTTTTCAACCCAATCAACCAACCCATATATCAGACATTCAACATGGCTCCCGCCTCTCACGACCACATCCTGACGCTCTCGTGCCCGGACAAGTCCGGCATCGTCCACGCCGTGACGGGGGTGTTTGCGGCCGAGAAGCTCAACATCCTGGATCTCCAGCAGTTCTCCGACCCCGTATCGGAAAAGTTTTTCATGCGCGTGCACTTTGGGCCGACCGAGTCCGAGTCGACGGAGCACCTCAAGGGCCCGTTCGACGCCCTCGCCGCCGATCTCCAGCTGGACTGGTACCGCATCCGGCCCGTCGCCCGGAAGCTGCGCACCCTGATCATGGTCTCCAAGATCGGACACTGCCTCAACGACCTCCTCTTCCGCGCAAAGTCGGGCCAGCTGCCCATTGACATCCCTCTCATCGTCTCCAACCACAACGAGTACCAGGGCCTGGCCGGCAACTACGGCATCGACTTCCACCACTTGCCTGTCAACAAGGACACCAAGGCTGAGCAGGAGGAGGCTATCCTGCGCCTGGTCAAGGAGAACGACATTGAGCTCATCGTTCTGGCCCGCTACATGCAGGTCCTGTCACCCAAGCTGTGCGAGGCCATGTCCGGCAAAATCATCAACATCCACCACTCCTTCCTGCCATCTTTCAAGGGCGCGAAGCCCTACCACCAGGCCTACGAGCGCGGTGTCAAGATCATTGGCGCGACGGCCCACTTCGTCACGGCTGACCTGGACGAGGGCCCGATTATTGAGCAGCGCATTGCTAGAGTTGACCACTGCATGAGCCCCAAGGACCTTGTCGAGGAGGGATCCAATATTGAGAGCCAGGTTCTGGCTGCCGCAGTCAAGTGGACTGCTGAGGGACGCGTGTTCCTCAACAAGACCAAGACGGTTGTTTTCAATTAGGCATCAAAAAGGATAGGGCATTAAACGGAAATGATAAATAAAAGTTGGTCTTTTTTCCTGCACCTCGCAATATCCATCTATTTTACATTATTCTGCTCTCTTGTCTCCGCCTCCCTTCTCTGACACATCTCCCTTCTCTCCCTTCTCATGACGACCCCAGTTGCCGTCAGGTAACTCGAAAACCAAGTCGCTGAAACCAGGGCTGCTATTCATCGGCGAATTGAAAGGCGACGGTAACTCTTGAGGTTGTTGCTCGCCTAAAGCGGACTTCCGATCATGGTGCTCTAATTCTGATATTGGCACCCCTTTTCCATCCATTTCAGCCTTGCCACCAGTGAAGATATCTGCATCATGTAAATCACGCCCGCTTTCATTTTCGTTTTTGTGTTCTCCGTCGAAATTCCTCTTTCTCCGAGCCCGCCAGCAGAGGAACCATATCATGGCCACCATCGCAACCAAGCCACATCCACCCGCGACTGCAATTCCTGCTATTGCACCTGTTCCTAATCCGCTTGGAGAAGCGGAGTTGACGCTGGTGGTTTCGGATGGTGTGCCTGATGTTGCTCCAGTTCCTGCCTCCACCTCTGTCCAATATTCCCGCCAGGTATCGACAAAGGTATCCGCAGGTCTCGACCGTAAGTCTTGAGTGTTATCCGGGACAATGAGCTGTTCTGACATTCCTGGTCCTGGTGCTTGTGCCATGAAAAATCGCTCTCGGTCATAGTTGAAACCGGTAAAAGCACCTTGCAGAAAAGCTCGACCTAACGTATATCGGTTCAGTGATGAGGAAGCCACGATGTCCGATTCAGTCCATGGTTTGCAAGGCCAATAAGTATCCACCCCCCAGTTCACATAGTTCTCTCTGGCGGGCATTCGATCTATTGTGAGATTCAATAGCCTGAAAGGAATCTTTATAGTAATGTTCCGGAAATTTTCGTCTGCGAACACGAAGGTCATGGAAGCCGGAGAGTTGACGAAGCGCGTGGTGCCGACGGGATCTGAGTGAAACTCCCACACATACAATCCGATTTCTGGCACCCAGCGGACGGGTAGGTGAGAAGCAGCAGCCTCGCATACCTCTGGAGGAAGATACAAGTAAGGGGCAGCCGCATTTGGCAGGACCATGGCAGACCCGGTAGGGCCACCGTACTTGTCAGCCATACTCTGAACGGCGGCAGGGAGACTTTCGCTTTGCCATACGCTTCCAACAGTTGTGTTGTATGGCGATGGTCCTGCTTCAAAGTCGAGGAGTACGTCCACAAGTATCACCCGAGGGAGAGTGGAATCTAGGCGAAACGTCCCTACGTCTCCTAGAATGCGGTTTTCTTCATAGCCCCCCAATATTAGCGATCCTGTCTGGCCCAATGTGACGCTTCCCAAATGCATGTACCAAGAGCTATTGGCGATGAAATTTTCCGAAGTCATTTGGTCGGTGATGCTGTAAATAGAGTTGGGATTAGAATAGTCGTAACTAAGCTCATCGCCCAAGCCAATCGTTCCGACGGGTGCGGTTTCATTCGAGATGTTGGAGTATGCTGTCGGGTACAAATTGGGGTTGTAAATGTCGATAGTAATGTCGGCCCAATAACTTCTTTTAATGTCGCCCATGCGCGAAAGCAGGTTCGTGCGCTGTCGATATACCTTGCTCATGGCATTCTTGTCAAGTCCGAGAGGCCAGT